TGATCAGAAATGGACACCCGAATACGCGCTGCCCTTCTCCGTTCCTGCTCCCCGATACGACTACTGGCAAATGGAAGAGTCTATGAACCTTTTTGTGACCGAAACTATCCAGGAATTCTCCCTAGACACCAAGACTACTGCCCGCTTGATGGGAAAATGCAACCATCAGTATCAGACTAAGCCGCTCGACATCTTTCTGTCAGCAATCTTCCATGCGTTCAGCGCCACGTTCAGTGACCGACCGGTACCTGCGGTCTTTATCTACAGCCATGGTCGGGATGAGTTTGGCGGAGATCTTGATGTCTCCAACACTATTGGATGGTTTACCTCCTCCACTCCGGTAGTAATCAAACCCTCTGGTGATATTGTCGGCGACTTGCAGGCTGTGCGAGATGTGCGCGCTAGTGTGCCGGGCAACGGGGTTCCTTACTGGGCAACTCGCTGGCTGACCGAGGATGGCCATGCCGCTTTTGAACATCACAGTCCGTTTGAGTTGTCTATGAACTATCTCGGCCAGTATCAACAGCTGGAGCGCGACGATTCTGTACTTCGTTATGTGGATGTGAACAAGCCAAAGGCGACTGGATCTGGGTCTGGTCTTCTGCGTACCGCGCTGGTTGAGACCCAGGCCATCGTAATCGGGGACTCCCTGCAGATCAAGTTCGTTTATAACACGCGCATGGCACGGCAGAAGCAGCTTCTCGAGTGGCAGGCCAAGGTTAAGGAGTCACTGCTGGAGATTGCCAGTCGTCTCGGGGATGGTATCGAGTGAGTGACGTTCTCGGGTTCCTGTATATAGTCTGTTTTCCCCATTCGTCTACTGTTGTTTTGCGAGTACTTGTATCGTGTTGGTCATATTGTGTATGTGGCGTTTGACGGTGGATTCTGACTGGTTTTCTCGGAGATTTGTAGATAGGCAGACTCTAATGGATGTAATCATACTATGAAAATTCTTGATTAGCAGTAGATGAAACTCCACCCATCTTGGTCAAACGAAAATCACTGTAACTGTCTAACATAAGCGATATGGCATTATTGTGCCCGATGCAGTCACGGTGGATAGAGATGAATGAGTTTGCGAATCTCGTTTTTGACTACAGGGGTATTCTCATGATTGTAGAATTTGGCAACATGTGTGTCGCATGCGTTATTGTAGTTTGACTGTCTCCGATTTTACACGAAACGTAGGGCAGATCGGCTTATTGATGTGAGGCGGTGATTTCAATCCTGCAGGTTTATTGATGATGGGTTTGGAAATATACTGAGAAGGTATTTGCAGCGCCATGAGCTCCTTGTCTTGGTTGAGTGAAACTGTAGCTGCAGCAGCGATTTTTGGGTTGTACCTGGCCGAAGTCGGAACTCGGAGGTTGTCTGGTCAAACCCAGAACCATCGGTCAATGGTGAATCACGGTGCATTGATGTAGCGAATAGACAAGTAGGTTCTAAGCTATCAGTGTGCACTCTAACTTCTGCCTAGCTTAGTGGGAGACTCGGGAGAGCCGGTAGCAAACATTGCGACCACAGTGCCAACTGCGTATATGCCGGTCCACGGAACGGCATCCGGATCATCGTGAAACGACAGGTGATGCAGCAGAATCTGACAGCCTACTGATGATGTGATACGGAAGGCAGAAGCAGAAAAGCGGCGCTCATTGTCCCTAAGTACGGGGGGTCAAGAGCGTGGCCGAGTCAGATTCAACCAGCGAGGGAGCAGTAAGTATGGCATTCCGAATCAGGCAGTCACGCGTCGCTGCCAGCAGGTGAGGTGCTTTGTCAGCGGTGCCAGATGGCAGTGAAATTTGATTGGTCGGTGCGTAAAAACAGCAGCATCCACCATTTCTTGGGTTTGACGCCGGCATCTCCACTTGCAATGAGCCGGTTCGCTGCTGCGTAAATATGCTCTTTGTGAGCTTCCGATCGAGGCCCTACCAAGTCCCTACATTTACACCAAACGAGCACAAATGATGCGCCTCGATCTGCGCTGTCCGATTGACGGCAGACAGCCAAAATGGCTGCTGTTTCATTTAATAAGCTGTTTCTTTCCTCTGTCCTGCTTCTTCCCATTGAAATTACTCCTTTATTGGTGGCATACTACTGCTACTATATACTACTGCGAACTACATGGCGCATTGAACAAACACCACCCACGCACATCCAGGAGCAGATACTGTCGCAGCGATACAATAGTGCCAGAACAGCTTGATTCTGGCACTCAATAAGCTTATTTCAATACTAGCCATACCTTCCGACTACGAAGAAGTCACCATCATGACCACCGTCACGGCCCCCGCGCCGTGGATCACCAGCAGTCAACAATGTACTCTGGAAACATGTCCTATGTCCTACGCCCACATCACCTATCTCCCCAACCTAGGTGGCAATGCCTTTTACATCGCTCTATTCGCTCTCTTCATCCCCGTCCAACTCTACCTCGGCATCCGACACCGCACCTGGGGCTACCTCTTCGGCGCCATCTGCGGTCTCATCCTGGAAGTACTGGGCTACATAGGACGCATCTACATGCGACACAACCCATTTATTGACCGGTGGTTTATCATGTACTTATCCCCTCTCCCTTCTTATTCCCCTAAATCCCACAACCGACTAACCTCCCAACCAGGTACCTCGTCTGCCTCACCATCGCCCCCGCCTTCCTCAGCGGCGCCATCTACGTCTCCCTAGCCCGGATCGTCGGCGCCTACACGCCGCAACTATCCCGGATAAAACAGCGCAACTACTCCCTCATCTTCATCAGTTTCGACATCATCTCGCTCCTCCTCCAAGCCGCCGGCGGCGCCATCACGACCTCGGACTCCGCCTCGGAAGTCCAAGACGGGATCAATATCATGATAGCCGGTCTCAGCTCGCAAGTAGCCTCCCTAACCCTCTACATCGTGATCTGTCTCGACTACGCCTTCCGGATCTACCGTCTCAGCGCGCGCAACCCATCCCCTCCATCATCAACATCAAACATGTTCCGCATGGCCAACCACAGCAAACAAGAATCCGAAAGCCAAGACCTAGTCTCACCCTCACGGGACTTGGTAACCCTAAATCCAGACTTCGCTAGCCTTCGGGCAAGTAAGAGCTGGAAAGCGTTCCTATTCTGCCAAGGGTTAGCAGTCGTGTGCATTTACATCCGGAGTTGTTTCCGGGTTGCGGAGCTGTGCGGGGGGTTCAGTAGCCATTTGGCGAATGATCAGACGACGTTCATGGTGTTGGAGGGGGCGATGATAAGTATTGCGGTGATTGCGATGAGTAGTTGGGGGCATCCTGGGGTGGGGTTTCATGGGAGGTGGGATGCGTTGAATTATCCCATGTTTCAGAGGAAGAGGAAGGGGGTGGTGGATGTTTAGGTGAGATGTTTTGTGGGTGGGTGGGTTTGATGGTAAGAGGTGGTAGTGGTGAGGTTTGTGTTCTGTTTCATTTTCCATTTTTGTGTCGTCTGGATTGGTGCATTCTTCGCTTCTAGTATCATATTTGTTGTTTGGGCCGGTTGGGCGTTGGGTGTTCTGTATACTAGCTTCGACTAGACTTGCATTTATAGGGATAGAGTATGCATTGGAGCATTCGGATAATTCTGGGTCGGTCTATACGTCTATCTTCGACTAGGGAATTATACCTTCTGTCACTAGCGACCCGACTTGTTGGATAATATCAGTAGTCTTGGCTATCTGATCACTATCTACCTATCAGCATGAACAATAGCATGATAGTAATATCCTAATCACAAACCAGCTCGAAATGAACGCGTTTCTTCGGCACCACAACCACCGGAAGCTTCAGGAGAAGAAGACCTCCCATAAAGAGGCTTTGCGCGGCATTCCAGTTGATCGGTCTCTTGAAGCGAAAGGAGCGAAAGAACCGGCCAACCTTTCGTTCAGCCAACAGCCAGACCCAGGTCTTTGAGGGATCCGGGTGTTCACCAGAGTAATCGTAGGAGTTTCTCCGCTCATCGAAGTCTGTTCGACTCAGCAGATCATCGTCACTCTCAGGCTCGTCGTTTTTACTTCCTGGCTTCCGCAAAATCCCTTTGGCCGGGCCCTTGCCTTTGTCCTGTCCTCGAAGTTGCGGGATTATGCAGACACGCGGATTCTGTCGACTCCCCTCGCCCTGGCGATTTTTCTCTCGCGGAAAAGTTGGTTTCGACGTAACTTCGAGATCCGTACCGCTTTGTCCGTCTGAGGACACCTGAGCATCTTCACTGGAAGGGATGTCGTCCCTAATTCCAGCCGTCTCATCTTGTGGATTTTCGCGGTCCTTTTTTATTGCACCTAATATCTGCTGCAGCACCGCGTCCATAGCATTTTCAAGCGCTGCTAGTTCCGACGGGGGAACTCGAGAGTCATTAGGGTATGCGCGCTCCATTGTGCCGCAGACCACCAAAGTCCGCTGATCAATGATATTGAGCTCGATTGAGGTTGGGATGGCACCGGCAAGTTCTCCATCCAGATAGTACACGTCCTTCAAAAACCGTATATCAAATGCAGGCTTGATGCGCTTAGGGGTACCGACTGGTTCCTGGGAGAATTTTCCGGGTTGGCCCCTGCAATCCACGTAGTCAATTCTGGTCTTATCCATGTTTTAGTATTAGGGAGGCCTCTGTAACAAAGTGGGAGAGGTAAAGACTGTGCAAGCAGGATCGTTGATAAGAATGTAGGTTATCGCGAGTGGTTAGGTGAAGTCTTCCATCGACTCAGAAGGGTTTAGAAGAGCTGCCGAGGTGCTGCTTAACCGTTGCCAACAGAGAAGTGGGCGCTGCGAGATGGCTTAGCAAGGAAGGCGCGCCAGCCCAAACCTTGTGCCATGCGCAGCCCACTCAGCATAAAGAATGCCGAAACACAGAATAGTGCATTTCAGGAGCCCAGCTCGAGCACTAGACCTAAGTAAAGTCGCGACCACAAACCCTCATAGAGTGTATGTCCCACCACAGTCTGTTAAACCACACGATAAGGATTGGGGTATTGGTGCTGGCGATCGAATCGAAAAACTTTTGTAAATCACTCCGATTCCGACTCATCAGGCTGCATAACCTTATCGTCAAGCTCCTGTTTTCTCATCAGCCTCAGGCTCCAAACAACTCTCATCGACATCCCTACCTTTGTCAACCTCGCCTTCAGATTCTGCAACTGGCTCTCCTTGATGACCAAATGGCGGTCATCATCCAGGTCTTCGACGATGTAGTCGTGTCGTTCTTCGTCGTATTTGAGGATGATGGCTTTCACGGACGGATCGCACTCGATGAGGACTCCTGTTTACGCCTTGGTTAGCGATTGAGTGGAGTGGGAGATGCGCCGGTGGGAATACCTCTGACGGCACGAGGCATGGTGGGGATCGGTAGGGGTGGCTGAGTACGGCGTAATGTTTTGTGGTGTGAATTGAAGGTCACAAAGGAGCTGCTGAGGTGTGGCTTTGTTAGAAGTGAAGGAACGAAGACCGACAGCCGGAGAATCAAGGCGATCCGGGTGCGCCAAGACTCCGCCAGGCAGAAAGGTGGTAAGGCAGCAAGGCAACAGCACCGGCTTGGGCCTACTGTCGTAGCATTCCACTTGTTTCAATTACCATGCATAGGGGACGACAAATATAGCTAATTGATTTCGGTAGGCCCATAAGCTGCTATTATATTGTAGGAAAAAGGAAGAGTAGCAGAAGACATGTCTGACTATATAGGAGACGTGAAATAAGTCTACCATACCAGTAGGTGTACCGCATTCACTGCTCTTCCTCTGCCGTCGCCTCCAAATCCCCCAAATCCTGCGGTTTCTTCCCCTTATACGGCGTCCACCCAGTCCCAGCCTGGGCCGCCGCCGCCGCAATGGCCAACACACAAGCACCCAGTAGCAACGTCTTCACGGCCTGTTCGTAGCTATGAACAGCGACCGCCCTCTCCACGCCCGTCAGGCGTTTCGCCAGTGCCGGACTTCCGAGCAGTTTGCGAACCAGCTCACCCCTATTGGCAAGTCCATGTTTCATAAACCCCGTTTCAAGCCCTCTCTTCAACTCACGTTGGAAGTAACCCCCGCCAATTGAGGACCCGAAGCTGCCGGCGAAACCTCTGCTCATTCCAAGCAAGGCGCTGATAACATAATGCATGTCTGGGTCAGTGAGGTGCAGCAAATGGGATAGGGTATAATTCATGACTGCTCCGACAGAGAGTCCATTGAAGAAACTGGCGAAAAGATAAGCGACCGTGGAAGAGTGCGGCGTTGATAGAACAGATAATACGAGGTTTGTCAAGGCGAACAAAAAGAAGGCTATGAGACCGGAGCTGAAGTGGAGTTAGATGGCTGTACTCTGCTTCAGGACTGGATGAAACACTTACATGTAGTAGCTGCCCGTTTTTCGTATGTGTATCCATCCGACTAGGAGTCCTCCTAAGCCGAACCCGGCGTTGGTTGGTACCAGAATCAAGCCTGCGGTGGCCGGAGACCAATCGCGAACGACGAGTGCATAGACTGGCGAGTAGAAAAGGACTGCCCAACGTGCCATCATACAGATAGCACCAGCCAAGCAGCTTAGCAAGACGCTCCTTTTCTTGAGTACCTCCATTGGGATAATGGGGTCGGTAGCGAATCTCGATTCAATCAGGACGAAGATCCCCAGGAAAACGAGCGATAGAAGGATAGGCGTGAACTTGACCACTGCAGCAGCGAGGCTTGAAAGTAACAGGAAGACGGAGATCGTCTATAGCGATTAGGGTTTGTTGACCAAGAATAGACGAGCTCTTACCAACGTCAACGCCCCAGCATAGTCAACCTTCGCCAACCTCCGCAATAGAGCGCGTCCACTTAGGTGCTCATCTTCTGGACGTTTCGGGATCGCCAAGTATTGTACCGGGCCCAGTATCAGGGCTAGAGGTGCTTGGACCCAGAAGATAATCCGCTATACCCTTGGTGTTATTCCACAGAGCGCTATATGTAGTTATTAGGGTAACTTACCCATCCGTAAGCCGGCGTCAGAAGACCTGCTAGCACGGCGCCAGAGGAGACACCGGTAGTCATCCCGGCGCTGATTAGACCGATGAAGAGACCTCGGCGCTTTTTGCTCGTTAAATCGAGAGTCAACACAAAGGCAATGACCATTTGCCCGCCAGCACCACATCCCGTAAGAGCTCGTCCCAAAAGAAAGACAGCCAGTGTGGGAGCCAATGCTGTCACGAAGAGACCAATCGACAATAACGTGCAAGAAAATAGAATGTATACACGAGGCGTGAAGATTTGGGAGAGTCGACCGGAGAGAGGTGTGAGGCTGGACATGGCAATCTATTAACAATGGCATTAGCATGTGGACCCCCGGCACATGGCTCGATAGAAGGTTATGTACCAAGAAAGCCGAGTTGAACCATGTTGTTTCAGAAAAAGCATCCAGATCAGCCGCAATCTCAGATTGCGCAGTAGTCATCATTGACATATTGGTTGCTGATAGATGTCAGCTTGATGCATCTGGATCACAAAGGAGCTCCCATACTCATGATGAACAGCAACAATCCCATGGCGGCCACTATCGCCGATCCCCTCCATCGAGAAACATGAATTCGCGCCAAATCTTCCCCATTGTTGGAAGATTCCCCCAAAAGAGGCGTAGTCTCTTCCGGGACTCCTTCTGGACGTTCCTGGGCTGTCATATTGTGTATCGAGTAGTCTACAGATTGTGTCTAAAAGAGAGAACGGATTCCCCCCGCAGACCCATATCTGTTGTTTGGGCATCGACAGCGACGGGGAAATGATGTGATAAGGGGACCCAAGCTCGGGATGAGCGGAGGCGCATTTCTAAGCAATAGTAATAATGTTGCGGCCCTGACCAGGATTCCGTCCGGTTGGGGCATCGATAACAGTTATCGGGGCCAATCATGGAGACGAATCGAGATCGGATGGCCCGCAAAGCTTCCAACAGCCTTGCAGAAGAAAAAAGTACGCGGTACGTGTGCCTGTTCGTAGCCTTTCAGCTTGTTTGGTCCGTGGTGTAGTCGTGACGTAGGCACCGTACATTGTCCAGCTGTCTGGACCCTAATGGCTGTATGGAGTTATGCGTTGTGACAGGCGGGTGGACTAACGGCATGTCAGTTATGCAGGCTGCATCGGAGGCAGTTGGACCCGACTTGCCGATGGTGGAGACTAATAATCATAGTGAGGCGGTTGATTTGATGGGGAGAGATTCCCGATGGAAAATGGAAGGTTTTCGGGGAATTCTTTCCAGGGCTCGGCAGCAGGTGACATGTGGATGCCTGAGGCAGTGCACACCCTTCGTACCAGGTGATGGAAGATATGCAGCCAAGATATCTGCAGTGTCGAGTGATGGCTGCAGCTGACTGCAACGACAGGATATATAGTATAGGAAATGAGTCTCGCAGAATTTTGATCCATGATGGATCAACCACAAACTGGCTGAATTCGTACTACTTACAACTGAAGAGCAAATGATGAAGGCAACAATATATATTTGGACGCTGGGGCTAGTAAGCCTGCTGGCAGTGGACGCACGTCATGACCGAACAATAGGTAGTACAAATCTCTAAATTTAACTACCAACCTAGTAGTATTGTTTCCAAATGACGAGACTTTAGCTAACTTTTGAATAGCTGAGATGACAAGCGCCAAGCAAGAACCGATGCTCGATTCTATCGCCTCAGCGCAGAAGGTGCTTGGTGACACCGCTGACTGTATGTTCTACACGCCTACCCGGTCACAAAGATACAGATGTACTGAGAATCGTTTAGCCTGCTATGTCTGCTCGTCGCCTTGCTCTCGAGCTGTCTGCTGTCATGGAGAATTCCCCCAGTGTTGCTCAGATGGCGTCTATTGCTATTGCTGCCAGGACTGATTGTTTCGGGTGTTTTGTCTGAAGGATCCATCCAGCGCAGAAATCCATGTAGACTTAATCCCTTGATCTCAGCTAGACTGACACATGGTGATAATGTCGTCTGGAATATACGGCTGAAGAATACTTATCAAGGATGACAGAGGTATCCAATCCAATGTGCCGTAAATTGTCTCGATCGCGTGTCCGCTGTACAATACGCGAGCGTAATATTCTTCGTCTGATGTTTCCCTGTAGCAATGTGAGTACCACACTGGATTTTCTTAGGCGTACTTGTCGCATGGATCATTACGTACCAGACTTCAAATGCAATGTTCGATCCCATCCCCGGCCACCGCAAGGCTGTGATGCCTAACGCGCCAAGGATGGGTCCGATATCTCCGTCATGGACGAAATTGTGGCTATACACCAACTCGGATGTCCCTTGCTGCACCGCTTCAAGATGGCGAACAATCTCTCCGATGAACAGACCTTCGACCAGTTGGATGTACCGAGTCGCGTTCGCGTTGTTTCGCCACCAGTAGTTCCATTCCCAGTCGCCCGCACGGAACACTTCCTCTGCCTGGCTGAAAGTAGCACATTGAGTCTCACTTTGCAGGCTGCAGGGTAACTCATAGCCATTGCAGAGGCGGGCCTGGAAATTATCCGAGAAATGGTCAAAGGTCGACATCCAGCTGGAGGTATCAGCGTCGAACATGGTTGCCAGCTGACTGCGGAGCGACTGGGTCACTGTCAGATGCTCGTTCCACTCTGCCGTGGATTCAATGGCGGAGAGCACCTCGCTGCGAGCGGAACAGGAGTATCCTTGGTCGACCGTGTCGACCCCGGAAGCCTGCTGGTGTAGCGGCAGGGGTGCATTGTAATCGGGCCAAATACCTCGCAAGACCCCACCGGCAGATTCTTGGGTGAGGGCCGAGGTACTCGAACGGAGCCAGATCTTCTTGCCATTGTCCTCGCCCGGTGACGATGGGATTAGCTGCAGTTGATCCCGATACACGGCAGCGAGGTCGCGACCGTGCTGATAGCCATCGAGAAAGCCCCCAATCGTCAATTGAGGATACTGACACGATCCATTGGCAAAGTTTTCCAAGAATGGATTGGAGGGATCGGAATACGTTTGGCTGTACACGGGGATTGGAGCGGGACCCTGGGAGGCCGGAGAGACGAAGAGATGAGCTTGGAGGTTGTTGCAATGATATTCTTGGTTCTAGAACAACGTTAGCTAGCCCAATCAGATACAAAGAGTTGGCCTCATACCTCGCCGCCCGGAAGAATGTTGTAGGGGGTGCGGCGTTGATGTCGCTGCACGTATTCGAGGTAAACTAGGCGGGCAGCGACGGACTGGTTGGCGACGGGAGACGGAAGCGAGTAGGTCTCCGCACGGGGATGGGGCATGGAACAGTAGTTGTAGACATCCTGGGCAGTTGGAGTACTGGCCTTATCTGCTGGAGCATTGTAGATGCCACCATAAGTGCCGACGGAGGCGTTGGTGATGTAGGTGGTGTGGTTGAGGGGAGGGTAGAAGGTGTCACGGGCCGCGAGGGCGGGATTGCCTGCGGAGAGCAGCAAGGAGAACAACGTGGAGATCATGTCAAGGAACCCTTCATAGATGCTGGACATCGTGACTCCTGGTGGTGGGGAGTCCAATCAGGTATAAATACTCTGTTTTCATCACTTTCTCGTAGTCCCATGGTGGTCTTCCTGTGGTGTCGTGCAATTGAATTTGGTATGCGAAGACACCACTCAGCCTGCCTTTTGCCGACGGTCGGCTTCCACTCAGTTGCGACAATCTCCCACGTGCGGGATTGCCTGAACCCTACTTAGCTAACGATAGTGAAGACAACCCACGTGGGTGAAGCTAGACCGCTGCAGGACCAACTTACTGGTAATGAATAATATACATTTGGTCCCTTTGGCGACAATGAACCTCCACAGATACCTGCGTCGTGTCAAAGGCACTTCATCCCTAAGGCTGTCATCACGTGGGCGCGACTAGTGTGTGCACTATCCAGGGCTAACTGGCTTGTCAGCTTAGCCAGAAGTCATTGACGCACATTGCTAGAATCTCCAAGCTGCGATACCTAGTTCAGCTTAAGCAATGGATACGAACGCAGGAACCGCGTGCTCAGTGCTTGGCCCGCCAGAATTCCCCAATCATCGATCTGATAGTCGCCATGATGAACCCCGAAGACAGCCCGCCGGCTTCTTGTTTGTCGATTATCAGGACCAGGCTTCCCACGGCCCAACGTTGGCCAAGAAGAAGCAGGCCTTCATCAAGAAGGTCTATCATCAGTCCAAAAAGGAACGACGACTGCAAAAGCTGAAAGCTTCCATCGGCCCGCTGCCGACCCAGCGGGCCAACCCATCAATCCTTCCGCCAAACCCAAGATCCCCCACATTCCCCATCGAACAATACGAGGGAGGATCCAGCTCCTTCGACCGAGCGTTGCGGCCCGCTGGGATTGATCCCTTTGCTTCGCTCTGCGTGCCTGCCAAGACCAGTGTGGATTTTTACTTTGACCACTGTGAGTAGTAGTAGTATCTAATCTTACCTCGTCCGGTCGCAGCAGCGCCAGTGACCTCTCTGATCATTCCTTCCAGACCGGACCGAATGTTCCTGGTCGATTTATCCCTTCGGAGCGACGGGCGTAAGCATGTGGTGGTGGCAGCAGTCAATCGAGCAGCCGGCCCTCTTGTACATCATCCTGGCAACCAGTGCCTCCCACCGAGCCGGCCGGGGCCTCATTGCACAGGCCCCCAAGGCCGCCCGAGATTCTTATCGGGATTCCCTAGAGTACCGGCAAAAGACTCTAACAGGACTCCAGAGCATGATGCAGATTCCAGGCACGAGCACAAGTTTACTTCGGTCTATGGCAGTGATCATCGCCCATATGATCTGCGTAGAGGTTCGTTTCTTTTCTCCCTCAATCTCACAATTATTCGTCTCACCTAGCACATTGGAATGAGAGGATTAACTAGACCATGATACATTGTTCGTCACTTAGGCCGCAGATACCAATTTGGAAGCCGTAGACGGCCATGTGCGCGGGCTGATCAAGATAGTTCATCTGGTGGGCGGCCTTGATACGTTCAGTGACGCAGACGCTCCCATTATCTACAGGTGGGTTGAACCACGAATATACTACCCACATCAAAAGTACCATCCACTAACCAGTGTGGTTCGTCCCTCTCCAGTGCCAATTTTATGAGCGCAGCTGCCAGAGGCTCGGCACCGCCCTTGCCGATAACCATGGCTTGGAAAGCTAGAGTACTTGAAAGCTTGTATAGCCTGACTGCGACCGACGACGCCCTGCACGCTTCTTCAATCGGCTTTCGCTTCTTCAACTCACCGTGGTCACAAGCAATCCTTCCTAGTTTGCGATCTATTATCAAGCTGTTCCGAAAAACCACGCACTACATGTGTACTACTGGACCAGTGGAGGAAGCTCCTGTACTCAACGACTGGTTGGTCTACACAGCCCAACAGTTGTTGTTGATCGCCCCAGTCTGCGTGCCCTCTGACTTGCAGGAGTGCCTGCGACTATCAGTACTGCTCTTCGCCGCAGTCCAAGTCTGGGGCTTTCAGGGCTTGCTATTCCTAAATCATCCCGTACTGGCTTTCCACTGCCGCTTGGAAACTGCGCTTCTCTCTATTCAACGCATGGCGCCCGATTTAGCTTTCTGGATGCTCTTCACCGGCGGGATTGCAGCAATGGGCCATTATAGTCGTGGATGGTTCGTAGACCGCCTCGCCTCGGTCGCCGGCCAACTATGCCTCACCACGTGGGACAGCGCGCGGACCTTGTTAGAACAGTTTCTCTTCTTCTCTCGGCCTACTGATACCCGCGCTGAGATACTCTGGAGGGAAGTAGAAAGGCAACAGTCTTTGTTGCCGGGTGCGTAACAACTATCTAGTTTAATCAGGAATGGTTCAGGTTTTACTGGGTTTTGCAAAAGTCCGATTATGGGCGCCGAGCACCAGTGACCCCATTCCAGAGCCAAGTTTGGTGCTACTAAAGGCGTTTTGGGAGTAGTACAACTTTGCTAGTGGAGAAGGGCCCCGGCCCTGGCATGGAGAATCTGGGAGAATGCACCAATGGATCTTACAATTGGCGGAAAGGCCCGACAATTGTAAGATAAAAAAGTTTGCAAGTTGTTGTTGGCACTGTATGATCATTCTTTCTCTACAATGCGAAACTCAATCGCATTTGACGCCGGTATCACAAGCTGAGGTCGACCCCCATTGTCCGCCGGATCAGTCACCTTCCCCCAAGGATGCGGTGGTATCTGGACATTTGTGTCGGCATGTTCGTCCACTCCCCCGTAGTCCCACTAGTCCACTGTACCACCCTTGAAGCGATAACGCCATATATCTCCTACTTCCCAACCATAGATGTCCTCTAGGATTATCCATGAGGAACTCCAGTATTCTCCCGGCTTAAGAGTAATGAAGCCTTCGTCCTCCACTACATTGACTGTGATATTAGGATCATCCAGGAACAGCCCAGAACATCCAAAGGGGCCCTCCTGAAGCTCCCACAATCCGCTCTCTAGACGATAGGAGCGAAGCAGCTCCCAGATCACATGGTTACGAAATATTATCGGCTGATGTGTGGGGCCACCATGGTAGCGAACATGCAACGATGCATAGTGTTTTCCCTCGGGAGTAATTATCTTCGGACCGGAGAGCTCTACGCTCAGTATGGGGGCGCCCTGTCTGTTTGATACAAGTGTAAGTCTTTCTGATTACTGAGAATAGGAATCCCGGCACCTGGATGGGTAATTTCCATGACTTACACACGGTCTGATAGCAGTAATGGTGGGGTGGATTGCCGGCGAATAAAGGCCGGAGACTCTATCTGCTCATATGTAAATGTAACACGTGGACCTCCCGGTAAGATTAAATCCGGCTGTGACGGATTAGCAGCCAGGCGGGACCCCACATAGTCACTAGGGACTCCCCAGTCCCACAAAGGAATCTTTGTACCGGTCCAGACCAGCTCGTAAGTTTCGCCGGGTTCCAGCTGCTCCCTGTACCTGCGTGGAAGACTGTGACAGTAGGTGATGGAACCGCCTGGCTTTAGCTCCTGAAGGTCATATGGGTACTCCACGTGCACCATGTCTAGAGGATCTAGGGTCACATCTGGTACATGTACCCTTTCCAGCTTACCCTCTGAGGTGTGTCGTAGAAGTATGAATTCATTTTTACTATACCTGTCATTAAGGGGAGACCATATGAAGACAAAAGGCCTTGGGTCATCATCGTGTGTTGATCGACTGAGAGTATACTGGAAAAGCGGACAGAGTTCAATCTCGAGCTGGATAAATGGTGTTTTAGGACTTGGGCATGGGAGTAAGTGTCTGATCTTGACGGACAGTCCGGTTCGAATAAAAAGGTGGGGACGGGTAACAGAGAGGAAGATGGAGAGGGGGATTTGGGTACATACTGTCTATCCTTGGATGAAAATTTTATGTAAGAGCCAATTTGCTGGTCCATTTTTAGGCTTTCGCCGATTGTGAAATGGAGAAGCAGGAATGAGTCCGGCTTTAAGTAGTACGCGTTAATACAGACACGATGTCACCTTGACTAAAGTCGACGGCACTATAGAGGGTACCTAACCTGAGCTGTCATGGTGGGTCAAAGGGGTTCAGGTATCCTTGGCTGGCCGCAGTAATGTCCGTGCTCCAGATGGCTTAGTAGCTGTGTTCAGTTGTGACCAACCAGCCAACTATTTAACCGACCAATCACTAACAAACCTCGTATACTCAGCACTGAGGGATTATCTCAAGGTACTAACTCAATCAAAGAATACCACAGGTTTAGAAACAATGTCTCTTGGTCGTAATGGACTAGTTTCTTATTATCCAGACTTATAATAGTGCTAGTCTCTCATGATACTATCTATTATTTCTAAATATAACATTAGTATCCTATACAGTCAGGATAACTAGATAATAAACCACTAATATGGAAACTCTAACACCAGTCTATTATTAGTAAATTGAGTAAGAAAGATGAACTAGTGCATGAAAAGTTACTATTATTTAATATTCTTTGGTACTAGTCTTGCCAAGATAAAGTACAGTGATTCCTAGTGCTTCTTAGCCACCAGGGCTGTTTTAGCCCATTACTTAATATAAACTAGTAACAGGAAAATCATTTCACTATATATTACTAGAATCATTTCAGCTCTTGCTGCTATTTGTGTAACATACTCTCTCAGTTACTATAAATACCTAGAGTATTATATATAGAGTTCTAGCTAGAAGTCCTACAGGCTTTGAGTAATTTGCTCTTATTCAAAAGTCAGTCTTGATGACCTGATTAGAGACCTACAGTAGAATAACTAATCTCGTCATGTACCCGCTCATCTGCTGTTAATGATTAAAGGAAATAAGACTCAGTATGTATAGAGCATACTGGTAAACTAATTCAGCCGGTAGAAAGCTATGTCAAGTCTTGTAGATCTTTCAGTATAAGTAGATTGGACCAAGCAGTAGTTCTTGCCAGATTATTACCCCTTTTCAATCTGTTCTATATATCTCGTCATAAATTTATGTAAAATGGCTGGGATATATAAGGTATAAGAGAGATCACAAGTAAATCTTCTATCTTTACCATCAATCCCATGGCAGCATCCACAGGAATGAATCTTATCCTTTCACTATTATATATGCTATATTTTTATACCTGTTATAGACATGCAGCAGCTATTTTTACCCATTTCATAATATGTCCTAAGTGAGCGTGCTGATTATGCTCCTAGACCCTGAGAGTATTTCAAGATTACGAGACCCTGAGGCTAATTAAATATAAAGATAGGAAACATTCCCAGCTAGGAAGCCTTAGACTGGAGATAAAATATCAAACTTACAGCTGATGCCTATATAGATGCTTTTGCTCTGAACATGGCGCACGGCTGGTATGCCAACGAGGAGACCTGCGTCGCCTCGAAGGCACTTCATCCTTCTACTCCTGGCATTCCATCACCGGTGCTGCTTCCTATGCACATGAAGTGATCAATGACCTCCACAGCATGAATATTCCATTTCTGTCGTGGATAATGAGAGACAGATAACAGATACTTCTCCCGTCAGATTCCGCTTCTCCAACTACAAGCAATCCTGCCCACTTGTCTTCTCTCGGCCTACTGATACCCGCGCCGAGTTTCTCTAGAGGGAATGAAAAAGACAACAGGTTTCAATGCAGAATTCAGAGCTCGAGCAGTGTTATTTCCTCGTGCAAACCCATATTATGTCTCTAGGGGCATCATAGCCGGATTGAATCCCGTAATCTTCTATGACTGTTCATTTTGTCATTCGGGGGGAAGGGTGGTAGGCTTATTGCATGCTAATCTGAAATTCATTGACAAATGCATGATATCCCCAACAGCTCGACGATGGTATTCTCGCCATAGCTGTTATCCTTCCTTTCAACGTTGCCAAAGCCGAAGAGAATATCTCCATATCGTACATCATGGTCACAGAGTTGAACTAAACCTGCCATCCCGAGAAGCGAAGGAGACGCACGCGGCAAGTAGGATCAAATCGTACAGGGCGACATACCACTTGTATGTAACTCGGTCATGATCGATCGTTCTAAGTTGAGTCAATCGGTAGACGAGCATGAGAGTGACAAGACTTATTAGGAGAGTCATGAGCCCCGTGGGTAGAGTATATCCATACTCGAACACCCTGGGAAAGATGAGAAAACACTGGCGGTTCTATGTCAGCTCCGACACCTGGTAAATGACTAATAGGACTACTAGCAGTAGTAGTTGGGGAACTTGATCGTGAAAACCCACCTCGGTCAGAACAAGTCCTAAGGAGGCATAAATGCGAGCTATAACTGACAATGCGCGGGTCAGAAGGACGGTAATGAAAGGAAAAAGATGAAACGAAAAAGCAACCAAGTTTCAAGTGCACGCACACCTACATACCCGGAACATCCCCCAGAAGGATCGGTGTGGTTTTCCGCCCGGAAGCCAAATCACCAGGAACGTCGCGGAAGTCCTGGATGGGGATAGTGAAGAAAACCCATACCATGATAGGTACGACCCATCCCCAAGCAGAATCCACACTGTCGGAGCCTCCCAGCTTCCAACAGGCCATGAGTTGGGAGAGTGTACCCAAAACCATGCAGAAGTCCTTGGCTGGACCGATTCTCGAAGCGTGTAGAATATAGAGGAAGACCACAACCACTATCCAGAGAAGGGACCAGATGTAGAGGTCTAAGGCGTAGCTCAAGAGAAGCCATGTCGCGGATACAATGTAGAAGCGATATTTTGTTGCAGATATGGTAGTTTGAGACTGCACGATTGGTCGGTCTGGTTTGTTGATTTTGTCTTCATGTTTATTCTCGGCCCCTTCAGCGTGGTTGGCCAAGTCGATGGTGTAATGGAAAAGCATACCGTAAATGATTGCACCTGTTTGATACCGTCGTTAATACTAGTAGAGATTGCAAATGAACTTCGTCAATCGTACAGGCCAGAGAAGATAAGGCTTTTTCATAGGTTGCTCTGCTGTGAAGTAACGAGGCTGTTGTGAATATGGGGAAAGGAGAAGAGGCTGCGTCGAAGTTGCTTTTCATGAGCAAATATGCGAGTTGAATTTCTCGCTTTACTGTTGCATAAAGCCGGGAGGCCACATTATTTCTGGAAAGTGATCTGGTATTCGACTGGTTGATGCTGTTGGCTGCAAGGCTCATCTTGTAGATATATTGAGAGTGGTACAACGGTGATCGTAAAATCTGTATGTAGTATTACCAGATGGCACACTGAGATGAAGAGTGTGAGTTAGTATGTCTAGAGATAGTTCGTACTACTCATGGTTACTTCTAGTAATAGTACTCTCAATCTATCTATAGCAATACTACGATGAAGATGAAAACAATTAACGTCTCTTCCACAAAAGGATGTGATGTCGGAAGAGCAATGCATGTTTCAGTTGCTTTCGGTCCCTTGAACTCTAAATATGAGAAATATTAGAGAGAAGAAACAGGAGGATGATGTTGGGGATAAAGAAAATAGTCCGACAAAGGTGTCTGCATTCCAATGAACGTCCAGATGACATGTTGATCCACCATGTCAAAGCGCAGATAGGCTCGTCCGACAAGCTTATTTCATACGCGCTCAATTAACTGGGGAATACAAGAGTACCGGGTTAGACTTCTAAGCCGGGAAAAGAACCCTTCGAATCTTACTCGGGCGCCTTTAGCTAAACTTGTGCAACCACTCTAAGTATGCTTATGAGAAGTTACACAAGATACGCCATGTGGCCTAAAGGAGTGTACTATTCCCAGCGCATTGCAGTAGACATGACAGGTGGCATGACAGATCCTCGATTCATTCATCTACTCATCCGCTTTCGTCACTAACGTCCCTAGCAATTAGTTACAAGACTACTATTGCCTCCGTCGAACAGTGCACGCTCTATATCAGCAAGCCAATGGCATTTTAGTACACATAGTTGACCTGATGCTTCCGGCAAATAAAGTATAATTATGAAGTAAGAGTCAACACCAGTTTGAGACAATGTAGTTACCAGCGCAAGGGGGCGTTAGTCAAGAATGCATTGGCCGTACGCGGAGAAGAATATTTGGGCACCGTGAAGAATGTCCGCTGTCCTGAGGACTGAATGCAGTATATGATGGGTGATCAATCCAATAAAAGAAAGAAAGAACTCGCAATGTGTGGAGTGAGAGTTGTGTTAAACATTTCAGTGTACTCACTCGGAAGGGCTAGTTTGATGCCTTGGGCAGGCATTCCACGGAGAGGCTTGATTTCCCTTCAGGAACTATCTCTCTGTTGTGATTTGAAAACCACTTATTACCTACAGTCCTACAGCGGATTTAAGGGAAAATCTTCCCATAACCAACCCGGGACTCGTCATAAGCCTGAGGTGTGTATCAGGCCCACGTTGGAGTCGTAACCGACAACATATATTATCGTTGTTGTCATTGTCAGGCTGAAGTCCACTCAATTCCAGTCATCCGTCCTTCTGAAAACCATATCGAAAACATAGCGATCGCAGCACAAGGCGTTGTTGTTGTTGTTGTTGTTGTTGTTGTGACGGTAAATTCCCATCCCCCAACGCAGCCAATATGATCTCCCAGTCCTCACTCAAAAGGTACCGGGCTATCCTTTGTAATATAACACTGTGCAACAAATAGAGATTCATCAAAAGACAGCTGAAGAGTTTCCGTAATTGGAATCATGATCAGACGCTTGTTGAATAAGATCCTTGATTCTTGTAATGGAGTGCTTCATCGCCAAAGGAATGAAGATATGCTCTTCCACAGACATGGTGGTGTATGTGTGGGGTTGCTTGGCTGGATTGATCAATGACCACGAAAAGGATGCACCAAAGAGGGCACGAACTTCAGGAGCGGGGACGCCACCGCGGGGCACTTTAATGGGCTTGCACCATCGACCGACGTTGAATTTTGAGTAGGGATGCCGGTAGCGTGTTGCCAAGCTTTGCTAAATGTTAGTGGGAGGGTCAGGGATATCATTTGTTCCCTTCACCATTACCCTGTCGGGCATACTTAAGAACCATCTAGTGGTCCTGGTAATAGATTCTTGCAATATTAATTACTATCGAGTCCATTTACTCCCTCTAGAATCATTATAGCTAAATAAATATGCTGAACACTGCAAATAACAACGTTCGTATTTCACCGCAGATACCGCCTCGTGGAATCCTTCAGTCCGCCGATCATGGACTTAGAGCGAGGCTATGGCGCATGGCCTTCTTCACGTTTTCGCGTGGCAGTTTGGGGGCGGAGTTTCACTCTAGTTTCCATAAGGGGGGCAGAGACTCACCTCCCTGTTTGTCTCTGTCCGCCCATGTTTGATCTTCTTCAGTTCATGAACGTTTTCCCTTGTAATGGTGGTGGTTGTTCATAGACACCATCCACTTGACCTTCACGATGAAGGGTCTCGCGCAGATCGTCGGGCTGTATGCCTCTTTGGCCGCCGGGAGAAAATACTGCACCCGAACTTTTCATTCTTGTGAGTTCGCATAGTGTTTGTGGGTTTTCTTGGCTGCGTATCTTGCTGACTCTGTGTCTTAGCTATCATTAATAACCAGACTTTGTTCATTGACGGTGGGGAGGTGCGCTATCTGGAGGATAATAATACCATTTCGGCATATGCCAGTATGTGTTATCTCATGTGTGTATGATTTGCTGGTGAACATTGTGTTAATATCTCGGGTTTCAGTCCGCGACCTGCAGACTGTCGACGTCTCCAAGTCATTTTCGAATACCGATTCAGATCTATTCACTCATATCGACAAACCATATAATGCATCCAATCCGGACGAATATCCGACTTTCCTTGATGAGGGCTCCGCGTTCAACGACGGCGAGAACCTCTACTTCTACGGCGGGTATAAGAGCGGTCGCGACGGCCCGACAACCGTCCCGCCCGTGGAGACGTGGAAATACGACATCCAAAACAATAACTGGACGAAAGATGGATTCGGGGGCGTGCCGCTGGTTCGGCTGGTAGAGGGAGGGGCAGTTGTTTCGCAGTCCCAGAATAAAGCGTACTATCTTGGGGGTGTGGAAGACCCGGGCGGGAACCCGAACATCTATGGTACTGCGGGAGCGGACGTGGAGATTGTCAGTGGATTGTTGGTCCTGGACCAATCGACATTGCAGTGGTCTAATTTATCGACATCGGAGATGAATAATTATGGCACGATTGGAGCAGGGTATGTGAATATCCTGGAGGATGTTGGGGATGAGGGGCTTTTGGTGGCCTTTGGTGGGTATAAGTATCCTGTCGGGCATAAGCTGTCGCTGCTTTGTTCGAGCCAGACGAATACGACCTTCCATGTACGTCCGACTACTCGATTATTGCTGGGGGTTTCAGCTAACAGAGCTAGAACCCCATGGAATACGTCAGCCTGTATGATATTGCGAACCAGAAATGGTACACGCAGCAGACTACCGGGGATATTCCGAACTGGCGGATGGCGGGCTGCAGCGTAACAGTGGCAGCGCAAGATCGGTCATCGTTCTCCATGTAAGCTTGACACTTATGCCCAAATCATTGTGGATACTGACATCTCAAATGCAGCTACATGTTTGGTGGGATGGCCGCGACCACTGCGAATTCCGACGGCGATGTATATGTTCTTTCACTGCCGTCCTTCAGATGGATCCGCGTGAACGAGGGCAGCAGTATCCGCGAAAAGCACACATGCAATGTCCTCGGGAAGCATACCATGCTTGTAGTCGGAGGAACGATCCCAACAGACAGTTCGGAGTATGAGCCGAAGCCGGTGAACTGCGACACGGGCACCTTTGAGAACGGACTGGCCATCTTTGATCTGAACCAGCATACCTGGCTCACTGATTATAATGCCGATGATCAATCAGACTATGCCCTGAGCTCAGCAATTACCGATGTCATTGGTGGAAGGTACGTAAATTCGATCGAGGGATTGGTTTTGCTGCAGTGCTGATGAACCACGAACAGCTCGACAGGCGGAGCCAATGTCACCGAACCAAAGAATGGGTTCAACGACACGACGTTGGCGACCATGTTCCAAAAAGCAGTCATCACCGCTACCACCAATTCCACAGCAGGCGGTAACTCGTCATCGACATCAGCAAATGGCAGTAGTAGCAGTACAGGCAGCTCCAAGGGCAGTTCCCTATCTAAAGGGGGCATTGCGGGAGCCACCGTCGGGGCGGTGGTGGGTGCCAGTGCCATTGCGGGGCTCGCCTTTTGCTTAATCAAGCGCCGACGCGCCCAGTCCAGCCAAGAGACTACTACGACTACTGATACCCCTGCCATGGCGCATCCACCCGTCTATGGATCGCCTCAGACAAGGCTGGCGGAACTTAGTAGTGACGGGGTCACACATGAATTGGGGACGGATGGAGGGAGTGGCACGCAGGATGCGGCTTCTGGGAATTGGTGGCAAAAGACTCCGAATATACCAGAGATGGATGGGGTTGCGAGGGTTGAGAAGGGGTGACCGTGTAATCTGAAAGGTCTATTTTATCAATTTGGGTTTTGCGCTGTATTCCGGCGTTGTTCATTGTCTTCCAATAGCGGTATAGACTTCCTGTAGGTATTCACCACTGAATGCAAGTAGACCCCCAGAGGACGCGTCAGTTGTAATTACTGGATTCATCAGGATCTGTGAGCTGTCAAAGCACCATCGCTAGCCTTCCTTCGTTCTTAGTAGTGTATGTCAGACGCCATGAGTTGGGAGAATAATCCGAGCAATGGCGTGGTGGGGTAGTAGGGAAAGCCAGAGGGATTGGAGGTTAAAGTAAATGAGATGATCAATTAATATCCATGTCTTCTCGGAGATTACTCGACTGGTTATGGAAATTGCTGCACTATGCTCGGAGTCCCTCCCGATCCATGTGCTTTCTTTCCCTAGTAGGGTTACTATAATTAACACGGTCGGTGGCACCCTACTAAACAAAACAAACAAAACAACTCAGTCAGTCCGTAGTGACTGCCTAAGGCGACGATCGGAACCTTGTCGTAGTGGTATTCCCACCCCCTTCAAACAATAGTGCTACAGTCCATGACCGCAACAGATAATTCCCAAGGATCCATTGGGATCTAGAATTACCGACCAAACATCTATCTGGGTCCATAGTTTGATAGTAGATACTAGGGTAGATAACGACCAAGGATTTAAAGGGGTTGGTACCGTTCCTGGCTTTATTGCCCGTCCCTGAGAGAGAGAGAGGGAGGAGGATCCACTCAGATAGATAGCATCACCGAACCCCTGTATCGAGTCACCACGCTAGCAGGGAAGGAACAGGGTTTTGTTTGGGTTCACCGTGCGCAGCTATCTTTTCACGAACTTGGACATATAGAAAAATTATACCAACACTATAGCGGAGATGGCGAAATTCTAAAGGTTGAGAAAAGTGATCATCGTTGAAAGAGAGGGAACATATTATGGCAGAGAAAAATACTACCCTGACAAGTAAGGGTAAGTTCAAAGTTCCATGGGTTGGCGCGTCCCGAAATTTCCTCTTGCTTCTCCGACGGTGCCGTCATCGCGTCACGGGCTTGGGCAATTTTACTGCTCGAGTGTTGATTGGTTGATATGTTTCCAGTGACTTTAAAGTGGAGTATACACAGCCTATCATAACATGGAAGTGGGGCAGCGGGCACCACCGTTGCCCGGATTGGACTTATGGATGCCATCATCAGTCACTTTGGTACTACTCAGTACCAGTACAAAGTACTGGTTAGAGTAGGACGCCTGAGTAGTATTCATAATGAGAAACTGTGGTAAAAAAGGAGATAAGGATAGTGAGAGTGACAGTAAGGAAATAAATCTATAAAGTGAACAGGGTATCGTCATCACCGACATATTGCCAAGGTTTGCCAGCCCTATTGGCACCCGTTTAACTTCCTCGGGGACCCATCGTGGTTCATTTGGCGGCGCGGATTGATAGGCAGCACCAGGGTCTCCTTCACTCTTTGCCCTTGTACTCTCGTCCACCGCCGTGAAATTACTTTATCTCCATCCCCCCAACTGCCTCTTATACCTTTCCATTTACTCCCCCCTTTACCTTGGTCTCGCGTGATTTTTGTTAATCCCTCTCTCTATCCGTCTCTCTGTTGTGCCGCAATTTTGTTCTATCTACTCTACCCTCATTCCCCATGCGTCACAATTACCCTCACTGGATTGTCTCTTCCCGCGTTGGCTGAAGGAACTACTGGAGCTGGAGTGCTGCTATGCCTGATGCTTGAGTACTTCAAATTTGACTTGGTATCTCGCAGCCTCATATATCCTTAACATATCGCCTACGATATACTTTGCGCATTTATCCCGAATCCCGTGCTATCCTTACCCAACATTCTCTCCGCCCACTCGTTTGACGTCACACGAAATGGGCCGGGAACCCGTCCCCCGTCGCCGTCCCTACTGGGCGATTCCTTCGCGCAAGGTCACAAATATCCTCGCCTTGATTCTCTTCGTCGTGGTCGCTGCCTCGGTTTTCAAACTCGAAATCGGTGCGCCCCCCTTCGACCCGACATCGTTATATCGCCACCACTCGCACCCAGGCGAACCCGATTTCTGGGAGTGGGAAACCACCTCCCGCTTCCCGCATGTGCAGAAACCCGTCAAAAGTGACGATCAGCTTTGCGACTTGTTCCCTGCCTACCTGCTTTCGCGCGTCCAGGTTGTTCTGAAAATCGGCGCCTCCGAACCGGCCGATCGCGTCAACGCGCAAATCTCCAGCGTCACTCGCTGTATTCCGAACCTCATCATCGTCTCCGATCGAGAGTCGCAAATCAAAGAACATCGTGTTCACGACATCCTGGCCGCCCTTCCTGCATCCTTCCGAGCCAATACTTCCGACTTTGAGGCATACGATGCGCTTCAGCGAGGAGATGACAAGATTGTGGCGGCGCCTCAAGGTTGGAGGCTCGATCGCTTTAAATTCCTCCCCATGGTGGAGCGCGCACACGAAATCAACCCCTCAGCTGATTGGTTCGTGTTTTTGGAATCGGATACATACGTGGTTTGGGATAATATGTTCCGGTTTTTGGATCAGTTTGACCCGCATACCCCCTTGTATATGGGCTCTCCGTCCCCGGGACGGCGGATCAACGACAAGGAAGTTTCCTATTTTGCCTACGGTGGCTCAGGATTCGTCCTTTCCACGGCAGCTGTCGATAAATTGGTGTACAGAGAGGTTGGATCTCACGGAGAGTACATTCAGCCCACGCTGAGTGAACAGTACGAGGATATCGTTAAAGCGGACTGCTGTGGTGATTCGATACTCGGATGGGCATTGCATGAGAAGGGCGTAGAGCTCTCAGGCTTCTGGCCCATGTTCAATCCCCATCCACTGCATGGAATTCCGTTTGACGATGCCTACTGGTGCCAGCCGGTCATTAGTATGCACAAGACACTGTTGCCGGACATGACTGGCCTGATGCGGTGGGAAAACCAGCGGGATCGCACTGTAAGCTTTTCTGACTCCTATCCCTTGACATCCCACTAACGAAGCCATTCCAGCGCCCATTGATCTACGCTGATTTGATGGAATATCTGAAGCTGGGCACCGTCGACCACATGTCCGATTGGGACAACGGTGACTGGGGCGGCTGGCAGGAACCTCCCGAATCACCCGCCCACGGCTCCTTTGAAGCCTGTCAGACAGCTTGCCATGAACATGCCCAGTGCCTCAGTTTCACATACGACTCCTCGGGACATTGTGTCTTTGTTCGCACGATGCGGCTGGGCGCGAAGAAGAAGCTGGGCGATTCGTCGGTGCGATTATCTTCCGGATGGGACCTGGAGAAAATGAAGAATTGGCGGGCATCTCACCAGTGTGAGAAGGTGATGTGGATGAAGCCCAGCACGGAACGCATCTTCTGATTTTGCTGATACCCGAATAAATGGCGAGTGGGTGTTCATGTTTTGACGATTGTAAATACTATGATAGATGTCTTGGATCATGCCATACTAACGATAGATAATCCTAATTATTAGCTGTCCGATCACATGCCTGATTTACATACTCGTATTTGCAATGGGTAGGGCTGCTTGGCTGTTTATCCCGTGTCATCATACTTTGTACAGCTTCCCCTCTGCTTATCACTGCCCGATAGCGATATGTTATCGCCCAGCACGAGTTTATCGGCTGCGGGAGCCAATCGGTCCTCTCTTATCCCGGAGCGGTTCCGCCATTGGCTCCCTCAATTGTACCTGTCAGGCCAGGGTAAGCTCTCATTCCGCCCATTCCGAGGTTCCGAGACAACTCACCAGACCCAAAATGGAAAGTCATACGCCAGGGTTCATACATATGAGCTCAGCTTCCCCCGCATATTCCCCCAGTCAGTGTGGTTGTGCTGTTCATCTTTCATTCTTCATCTTCAATTCCCATCACAATGCTTCCTCATCCCCTTGCCATCCTCTCCGAAGAGGAGACCAACATTGCTCGCAATGTCATCCTCGCACAGCACCCCAACACAGTCATTGACTTCCGGGAGATCTATCTGTCAGAACCTCCCAAAGCACAGCTCCTCGAGTTCCTGGCTCTGGAGCACTCTGGTCGTCTGAGTCCAACCTCTCCTCGTCCGCCTCGTCTGGCCCTCTGTCAGTATGATGTGATTGGGAACGACCGCATCCCCTCTTTTGAGGAATCTGTTGTCGATGTTGGAACACGCCAGCGTGTACAACATCGTGTAGTTGGAAAGGAGCACCATGCTTCTTTGACTTTGTACGTAGTCAAGTAACCTTCTGGACAAATTAATACTAATACAGTGTCTTCAGGAGCGAGTTTGATACCCTGGTCGAGCGTTGCTTCGCCTCCCCCCTCTTCCAGAAAGCTCTGGCCGACTTCGACCTCCCTGAAGGCTTTGAGGTCGTCATTGAGCCTTGGCCATATGGTGGACTGGACTACGTGGAGGAGAAGCGTCGGTACTTCCAGGGTCTATGCTTTGCCACAGATAAGCGCAAGAACAACCCTGACGCCAACTTCTACTCCTACCCTCTGCCTCTCATCCCCGTCATGGATGCGCTTACCCAGGAGATCATTCGGGTCGACCGTCCCGCCACAGGTGGCAAGGGTGAGGGTCTGACAGAGCAGACCTTCAAGAGAGACATCATCGGTCACTGCAAAGACTCGGACTATGTGCCCGAGTTGCTTCCTGGTGGTACACGCAAGGATCTGAAGCCGCTGAACGTGGTTCAGCCCGAAGGTCCTTCCTTCCGCATTACCGAGGAGTCGCTCGTAGAGTGGCAGAAGTGGCGGTTCCGCGTGGCCTTCAACCCCCGCGAGGGTGCTACCATTCACGACGTCTGGTACGATGGCCGCAGTGTGCTTTACCGACTGAGTGTTAGTGAGATGGTAAGTTCATTTGGCCCACACCACGGCTCGATAGCTGACTCCATAGACTGTACCCTACGCCGATCCTCGCCCTCCGTTCCACCGCAAGCAGGCGTTTGACTTTGGTGATGGTGGTGGTGGTAATATGGCCAACAACCTCTCAATCGGATGCGATTGCCTCGGTGTTATCAAGTACTTTGATGCCGTGATGACGGGTGCCGATGGTTCGGCCAAGAAGATGCCTAACGCCATCTGCTTGCATGAGCAGGACAACGGTATTGGCTGGAAGCACTCCAACTGGCGGACTGGTCGCGCGGTAGTGACCCGTCACCGGGAACTAGTCGTGCAGTTCATCATCACCCTGGCCAACTACGAGTACATCTTTGCTTACAAGTTCGACCAATCGGGTGGCATCACGGTCGAGTCGCGTGCCACGGGTATCTTGAACGTGGTCAACATCGATGCTGGCAAGGTCAGCGAGTACGGCAACGTGGTCAGTGGCGGCGTGTTGGCCCAGAACCACCAGCACATTTTCTGTGTGCGCATCGACCCGGCTATCGACGGGCCCAACAACTCAGTGCAGGTGGAAGAGTCGCATCCTGTGCCCATGAACGCCGTCACCAACCCGAATGGTAACTTCTACAAGGTCAACACGGAGACCATGGAGCGCGCAGGCTTCTTCGACGCCGCGCCGGAGCTTAACCGTACTGTCAAGATGGTCAACCCTCACAAGAAGAACCCGATCAGCCAGAAGCCCGTCGGATACAAGTTCATTCCGCTCGCGACACAACGCCTGCTGGCCGATCCCAACTCGATCCAAGCGAGACGCGCACAATTTGCTCAGCACCACGTGTGGGTGACCAAGTACCGCGATGGCGAACTCTATGCCGGTGGCCGGTACACACTCCAGAGTCAGGAGGAAATCGAGGGTGTGTCGGACGCAGTGAAGCGAGGCGATTCCGTGGTGGACACGGATGTTGTGGTTTGGAGCACCTTTGGCATTACCCACAATCCTCGTGTGGAAGATTGGCCTGTGATGTGAGTGTTCCCTATACTATCTACTATGGCAGCATGCTAACTACATTAGGCCTGTTGAGATCTTCCAGCTGATGATCCGACCTGCGGATTTCTTCACCGCTAACCCGTCGTTGGATGTGCCATCCGACAAGAACGTCTCTTCGCGGGTGGTCGGCAACGACTGCTGTCGTAATTCACACATCTAAGATTTGGTAGTACTATTTTTGGACATGAATGACGACTACGATGTACATATATAGCTGAGATTTCGCACATACTGAAGGAGATCTGGTACTTCAATGACATATATTGGATGGATTTGAATGATCGTGTTACGAATATAGGTACTTAGCTACCGCACGACCCACAGGATTATGATAGTCTTATCAGCCTTATGCCCGATCCATTGGCGTAATGATCCATAAAATGGTACTGCCGACCCGGTGTGTCCAAAATGTGGTGGCCTGGGGCTAAGAATGAAACTCCGCTCCGCCGACCTCGGATTCCTCGGAATGAAATTTAAAGTTTGCGCCTCCCTCCAGCAGTGTTTCCGAACCCCATCTTCATTTCTCATGCACCAACACATACGTCGGAATCGATCGATTTTGTACTACCCTAGTGGAGTGCTGAATGAAACATTCGATCTAACGCGATCTATTTGTGTCCTGCTCGCTAAAGCAAAACCCCATGGACAGCGACTCAGTTAAGCGAGGCAGCAACACTCCGGAACCGCCTCGGAGCAAAAAGCGCGCCAAATATACCCAGGTCGCTTGGTGCGCCAATCCTCCACAGATCGTTTCTAGGCTTGACTGACCTGACCCCCTTAGCAATGAGTGTAAGCGACGGAAGCTGAAATGTAGCGGCGAGCCTGTGTGCTCCCGCTGTGCCAGAGACAATGTTCGTTGCGTTTACGCCCCGAACGCTCACGTTGTCGCCAGCACGGCTTCTCCTTCGGTTGAAGATCCTGTCAAAGATGAGAGGTAATCTTATCCTGGCCAGCCGGAGATTATTACTTACACAGGTATGGCAGATTGTCTAGTCGATTGCAGACCGTCGACCAGCAAATTGCATCCCTTCAGCGAGAAATGCGAGCCATGGCCGCTCGTCTTCGTCACCTGGAATCAACATCGGTGACTACACCAGCAAACAATACTAGCATACCCACCTCCATGTCGACTGTTTCTTCGGCATCTGTCAATACAGGACTGCAGCGGATTCTGAACCGCCCCAAATCTCCCAGCTACGTCGGTCCCACCAGTGCCGAGTTTGGCCTCACTGCGCGGCAGAAGGCGTCGGAGGACAGCGATGGAGACGCGGATGAAACCGACTCGGCAACAGCACCGAGCCCAGCGCCTGTTCAAGACTCAGAGGCCTTTTCAGGCGACCCTCTTCGGTGTATGGGTCTCACAGAGACCCTGCGACTGGTGACGGTCTACGAGCATACCGTTGGGCTGATCTACCCGTGCGTAGACCTCGACAGCGTGCGTGCGTACGTGGTCGAGTTCTTCCGGGATGATGGGGACGGTCCCAATGAGACACACTCGCCCGAAACCGGAGATCAGGATTGGTTCTTTGCTCGAGACGTGGAGGTATTGAAGATCATTGTAGCAACAGCCTTGTTAGCGGAATCACACGGTCGCAGCGAAAGAGCGGCCTGGTTGGCAGACAGTGTCGAGGATCAGTTCGCTTCTCGGTACAAGGTCCCTGAGGTGGATATGAAGGAGTTGCTTATCTTGACCTTAGTGGTGCGTTGAGTCCTTTAGCTTCTTCTGTCCCTGCTAACCAATCAGTCCATATTCCATTCCTACCGCGACGACGAGGTGATTGCGTGGCGGACTATCGGGTCTGCCATCCGGGGCGCCGTTCAACTCGGCCTACACTGTCAGGAGACATGGCTAAGAACGGGTGGTGTATTTCCAGGCGAACTGCACAGAACATGGGCCAGCCGGCTGTTCTGGTGCATGTACGTACTCGATCGGAAATGGTCGTTCGGAACGGGTCTGCCGTTTGCCATCCAGGATTCCGACATGGACACGAACCTACCGGAGCCGGGCACCTCAACACCTTACCTCACCTGTATGATCTCGTATGCACGACTCAGCTCCAAGATATGGGGCCTTGTGGTCGGCTGGCGCACGCGCCCACGCGCCGCGACGGCAGACTACTGCTCATACCTGGACTTCCAAGTCCAACAATGGATCCAATCCATCCCGCCAGAGCTGCGCTTCGACCCGTCGCAGCGATCATCCTCCACAGCACCCAATGCGCAGACAGACAGCATGATGATGCTTCAAGTACTACTAGCACTGCAGGCGAATCAGCTGCGCATTCTCGTCTACAGACAATACCTCCTCAGCACGGAGAGCATCGAAGAAAGCGTACCGAGTGCATCCATCGCCGTCGAAACTGCGAAAAGTACCGTGCATATGCTCGACTTCTTCAGCCGCGTCTCAGAAATCTACTTCCAACGTCCTGAGCCATTCAACTACTTCCTCATCTCAGCCCTCGCTGCACTATTCCTCGCTGTACTCCACGCCCCCTCCCGATTCAGCCAAGTCTGTCGTCCAGAATTCTACAAAGCCGTCGACATGGTTCGCAGATCATCAACTCGAGCCCGCACATCCCGCCGTCTGCAGAAGATCATCCGGAATCTAAAATTGATCCGCTCAAACTTGGGAGCTAAGTCGCCCCGACAAGCTAAAGCTCAGCTACAGCACGAGCAACAACAACACCAAACTCCTAAGCGACAGCCTTCAATATCCACAGCCATGTCTGCAGCCGTGCCTTTCACCCCGATGGATACACCCTACCCACCACATTCGCAGCACCAACTCTCGGGATTCCATCCCGTTCATCAGCAGTCAGTGTCAGTGTCCACGTACTGGCCGGCATCAGCAGCAGGGGGGAATGCAGCGGTTGATGATCAACAGGAAAGCTGTGAGGATCTGACGAGTTTCTTTGAAATGGCCGGCGGGTTCTACTTTGACCCTAGGGCGCAGGCTGAGGTGCCTGAAGCAGGGAATGGGAACGTAACTGGGCCTGATGGGGCAGGAATTGAGGCATTGAACGCAGAAGATGAGGCCTTGACGAGGGTCATGGCAGGGTTACTGTAAATATAAGGAATTCGCACCAAGATGGATGGTTACCAAAGAGACACACACCTGAGGCAGGCATGTTTGCATATGCGCGGGTTCCTATATACGTAGTACACTCCAGACAACATATACACTCATGTTCCGGGGACAACGCCCCAACGAAAGGCAATACCTACTCACTAAGAAAGTCCGTAACACTCGATATAACCAGAGCACCACGTATCCAACTACAAAATTACGTTCGTTAGATTAACACCGTTGCAAATAATTCACTGGTATTAGAGAACACTAGCTCGCTAACAATTAGTTCTAACACTCAAGATCAAAGTGGGACCGGTATATAGTATAAACAAGAACTTCCTCGTCTGCCCTTCTTCCTCCCTTCTCTCTTTCCCTCCTTGGCTAATCTTCATCTTTCAAAGAGTGTATGTATGTATGATGAGGTTATTGCATCCTACTGTATGGAGTGTGCGTTGCTGACAGAGTATGGATGAGCAGCATCAGTATTACAACTACATCTTCTCATACCACTACCACTACCACTACCACCACCAACCGCCATGCCTCCCCCCTGCCAAGTATGTCCTGAAGCATAACAAGAACATTACTGATATCTCACACTACATTATAGTCCATCATCGTTCAAAAAGGAACGTTTCTGCCCCCCGGGGCCCCCAACCCCCTCCCCGCCGGCAAGGCTCGCGCGCTTCGGCGCAAGGAAATCAAGAAGGTCAAGGCGAAGAAGGCCGAGAAGAAGAAGATGTTCGAGTCTGGGCGTGCATCTGTGGAAGAGATGGTAAGCGATACCTGCTGCTTTATATTCCTACTTAGGGCAAGGAGAGCAGGGGCTGACTACGGATGAAGATTGCCGAGGCCGAGCGCCTCGAGAAGGCCGCTGCTGTTGAGGAGGAGGAAGCGCGGAGGAAGCGGGCCCGCGCCGCGAATCTGCGGGTGGTGGCGGCGGCGAAAGGGGAGGAGAAGGAGGAGAAGAAAGAGAAGAAGGAAGAGGAAGAGGAAATGCTAATCAGCTTTGAGGATGAGGGTGAGCAGATGATCATCGAAAAGAATATGTAGATTAGATGGTGATAATTGCATCCATTGTGGGAGAGCTATGCTATCTCTATATCTGTTCTCCATGTCAGTGTTTTAACTAATCTATACAGTGGAATCCCGGCTGACATGAATATGACGCATTACCGGAGTTCTAGAGGTAGGACAGGTACGACAGATGAACAAAAATGAGGGGTTCGGGTTGAATCATCAGATAAATTGAATACATAAATCTTTAGAAGCAGTGGCACATTTCTATCATAAGAGCTACTGGACGTTGATGCGATGTTCTTCGCTGCTCTCGATGCAACTTGCATCGTCTGTGGCACGGAGATTGATGGGCGGCATCGCTGGGCAAAGCATTTCCGGGCAGGTGAGCTCGAGCTTGACTCCTCCCCCCAGTTTCCTTCGGGTCTTTCATCCCCATCCCTCTAACCCATCCGTTAGTCTACTGTTCCTCGACGGGTGTGAGGGTGACGGTGCCCTTGTGTCCGGAACCTTCTCATCCTGCAGTCCGTATCCCAGCCGATGCGGTGACGGATGAATGGGTTTCCGAGAGAATGCCCGAGCATGATCAGACTGATCTGTACGTGTTCCATGAGCCCTGCTGGCGGCGCCTGGTCAGCCATTTCAGTCCCACGGAATTCGATGTGGGCTTTGTTTTTGAGGCGCTAGAATATTTCCGCTGCCCTTGCTATGTGGCCGCCATGAACCCATACCAACGGGATTATTGTTTCCTTACAAGTGGGAGGCAGTGGATGAAGGACTTGGACACCAGCCTGATTATGCCAACCTGGACGACCTCATGCGATTTGCAAAAGCACTCCCAAGCCCCTGGCGTCCGGTGATGTCTTCTGCTCCATTCGTGGCAGACATCTTCCAGCGATTGCCACTAGAACTAATTGAAATGATCGCTGATCTTTTGCCCACGCGGGACGTACTACATCTCCGCCAGGTGTCACGCGGGGTAGCCCCGGTCTTCAGCAGCTCAGCCATCTGGAAGACACGTTTCGACTTGAACGCAGAGCGCGGGTTTCTTTGGCCAGTCGTGCGAGACTTGATAAACACAGCAAAAGGCAATGGATTCGATTGGAGGCTCCTGTACCACTGCACTTGCCATCTCACCTGCAGCCAATGGTTTTCGCTTGGAGCTGAAATCTTGGGAGGCGCTCCGGTGGCTTCGGGATACAGCCCTGGCTTTAGCCTCCGGGGCACCCCGTCCGCTTGACTATCGCGGTGATGCCCTGCATTACTACCATAATGCCATGATTGGAGATACACACCTCGAGGTGGTAGACTGCGACTCTCGGGTGTATCAAATTGCGGTTTCTGCACATGATGATTGCGGCTCACATTATGGCCCTGGGTCTGTGTGTATCACAGGACTGGAATTCTTTTTCGAGAATGGACCACCGGCTAGTTTGGGTTACACTTCGCCCGGAGCAACGAATATACCCAGAAAGAAGTGGAGAAATTCTCAGCGGACGAAAATGGCCCATCCTAGAGTCAGAGTTATGATGGATCTGATCGACTTTAAAGGAATCATGATGACGCATAACCTTGATGGGGTTAGTGGTTTGCTTATATTACAAAGCCTTGATGAAGAGAGAGAAGCACGCCGTAAACGGCGGAGGTGTTGTGTGGGGGAGAGGGACTACCCTTATTATGTTTATCAGAGTTTACGCAATTCTTCTCTGGAACAGGTCTCACAAGTCGTGGCGGTGTTTAACGTAAGTATATAAGTTCCATTTTACTCACCCTCTTTTCTTGTGTTTCTTGTTTCATCATGAATCCCTTCTCTGTGTACTAAGAATGGATCATCAGAACCACAGATTGATGGACCTTGGTGTACGGGGCCGAACAGCAAAGCGAAAACCGCAATTGTCGGAAAGACAGCGAAGGTCGGAAATCAAAAATTTCAAAGAACACGGCGATCTTGCACCAGGTTTGGAGTTGAGATGACTATTCAATACTATGGTACTTGAGACAAGCTAGCAATTTAATGGCACATACATGCTACGAAATGTCACTCCGTGGCCCTACCAGGGCCTTTGTAGCTGTTGTAGTCATAGTAACTCCCATTCACGAATGCGTCATACTACCTGCTTTATTCTTTGTGGAGACCACCGTAGAGAAATGTGTCCTTTGCTGAGATATCTGAGTCTGGAGCCTGTGTTACTCAAGCCAGCTAGTGAGTCTTCATTCACTCACTCTTTGCTGAAATGTTTGCAAGTTTTAGGATACTATAGATCTTTTCAACTCCAGTCTTCCTTCCTTCCTTTTCTTCTTCTCTCCTCGTGTACAGTGTCATTACCAAGTTTGAATCATCAAGTTAGAAAGCCCGACTTTTCATCGCACGATTCCAAACACCTCTCATCAACCATGGCACAGCAGGGACAACCGCAAACCGTAGCTCCAGTGGAACCATGCTGGAGTTACCCGGGATACCAGGCGTACCTGGCCCGGATTGACCCGGCTGCGCAGCCCTACCGCAACGTTGTCGATCACTTCTGGTCCAATTTTTTACGCCAGTATTTTGCTACATGGGAAGACTGTGAACACGAGAGATATCCATGCACTACCCATCCGAGACCTAGACAGCATTGGAATGTCTATCTGACCAACATTCGTGATCAACAAGCCCACCATGTCATTGCCGTCGAAGCTAGGTGGTTTCCCTCCGACACTTCACCTGGCTGGGAGAACAACTACGACTGGACAAATGTCCGGGAGACGCTCCGGGCCCATATGCTCTCCGATTGGACCATGCGGACGACAGTGCAAACCACGTACGGCATCGTGGCAGTTGGCGACCGCGTTCGCTTTTACTACATGTCTAAGAATGATCTGGAGGGTAGACTCCGTACCTGGAATGACCATCCTGTGGATGCCCCAGGGGCGGATCACTCGCCCATCTTGAACATTCATAGCCTCGTTGACCAGGGAGTGATTCATCAGCTGATGCTTCGAATGCGTCAGGATGTTCTCTCTGGGTGCAATACCTACTAGCAAGCAATGATCACCGGGATTGACGGTTTTGAACACTGGCAAGGCTATGTGATGGTTCTTTTAGAGCTTGAACTAGGGTCTTGTATTAGCAGGTCTAAGGCGCGGTTCTTTCTCTGAACCAAACCTAGGGGCTTGTATTGGCATGTCTAAAGTGCGGCTCTTGTTGAACCAGAACTTAAGGGCGTGTATCTAGCTGCTTTTAGGTGGCGAAGATGGTCGTTGCGTTCAGAACACCGTTGAATCCAACCTAAGGAGTTCCCTTCGGGGCTCTCTCTGGGGCACCCTTACTTCGGCAGTGCCGTGGGCTGGGAGTCTCGGAGGGGCTTCGATATATGGAATCATATTGGGGGGTGCCCATCTTCACGACTGCTCTAACAGTGACCGAACCCGCTATCTACTTATCGCTCTGCTACTATGCTGGTCTTTCTTCCTACATTGTATGCACAAAGCTCTCAATGCTAATGCACTCATGATGCCCGCCTACTCCCTCGCCAGTACCTACGGGGCAATCTCGCCCGAGATCAGCGCTCGGCTCAACTCCAGCTGTGGGGGGATCGGCAGCTGCGGGCCATGTCCATGGCCTTGATGGTTCCAATTGGACCATAACACTTCCCCCTCCGTCAGTTCCTTTTCTTCCTGCTTGGTGTTCAATTGGGTAAATTTGATTTTTCACAATTATAGTGCCATTGGGACTGTCCAAGGGACACATGGATATTCCTCTAATATCACTTCGGTCTTCGTGCTTATGGTCTTGTGTTCTTTTATCCTGCCGGTAATATCCTACGAAGCCTTGTGCGGGGTTAGTGGTTTTCAGGTCGCCAGCTTTGGGTGATCGTCTTGGCCACTTGTGCCCGATGAGTCAGGGTTTTGAGGCGCCCAGTGAATAGTCTAACATAGATCCTGAGGCTCTGTGAGCTCCATGCCTGTGACGAACCAGTCTATGCCTCGTGTATTTGTAACGTCGTTGTAGTAGACAGCAACATCCGATTATATATTATATACACGTGTAAGAAGACTCGACATATACATAGCCTGTCCCAGGGAGTCTTAACTAGAACAGGTGATCTAGGGTAGTAAATGTAAACGTCCGAAGCTTAAGGCTGAGAAATGGTGGAAGCCATCAATGTCTCCCTCCACCATCCAACTCAGCGATAGGAAACTCCGACGGCAATTCCGCCTTCGCATCCCTTCCCGAGGCCGGCAATTCCACCTGCTCTGTCATGAACGCCCCTGTCCTCGTCGCAGGCAACTCATTCAACCTCTGTACCCTATATGCCTGGTCCGGTGATTGATAAGCCTGTTGATTTGCGGACGACGCGTTCCCTTTCCGTCGGCGCAGGAAAAAGAGTAAGAGGAATATAGCTAGCACCGCGCCCGCTGCGACACCGACGCCAATACCTGCTTTCGCTCCGGTTGAAAGGCCTGATGAGCTGCTGGATGAGGTGGACGTGGGTGATGTTGTGGAAGAGGTAGCGGTCGCAGGCGAGTCCCCGGATGATGTTGTAGATGCTGATGTGGCTGCTGGGGTGGTGAAATCCGTCGACTGCCATCGGATAGAAATACCGTATCCATTGATGTGTCCTGGGCTGGACAAGGAACTGGAGGTGCTGCTCGTAGATCCGGCCGTGTCGGTCCAGGTGTAGGCGAATTCGATCTCGGTGGATTTGCCGGGTTCCCAAGTGCAGACTTCGAGCTCGGTCCAGCCGGGGGTGTAGGTGGTTCTGGTGGAGTAGGTTTGGATACCGATGCTGGAGATGATAGCCAGTGTGTCAGTTGGTACTGCAGGTGTTGAGAAAGGTGTGTAATATGAACGAATGCTCACGTCGGACAGCACGTCGCTGCAGTCTCCGTAATAGTCCCGTCGATCACGATGTTACTGGCTGCAATGCGATATCCGGTGGGACATAGTCCCGGTGAGAAATAGCTGGATACATCCCAGCCCGATGGAACACATTCAGCCGTGTGTGCTGGCCCCAGGTTCATCCATGTTTTGGAACTGCTGCTGACGAGCCAGAAATCGCTGATGCAGGTGCTAGGAGGAACGAATGTTGTTGTTAAGGGAATGGGGGCGGAGGCTGTAGTAGCTGCGGATGTTGTTACGCCTGCTGACATGGTGGAATGGGGGTTAAAAGGGATGCTGGAAGCATCAACAGAGTTTGCATTTGGTGGTGTGCCGTGTGAGAAGGTGTTGAGAAAAGGGGCGTAAGCTGATCAGACTGAAAATCTCCAGACTTGGGGGCATGCTGGAGAGCCTTACTCGGACTTATGCAGGATCTAAGATGATTGTGTTTAGCGTGGACTCGGCACTCTTTGGAGTTTGGGGGCCAAAGGAAGAATGCATGAATTTCAATTGTGATTGGCTAATATTGGGTTTTGTTGATGCGCCCCGCCGGGTTTGGAATCCGAGATGGTTCTTTCCTGTCAAAGTGCTTGTGTTTGTTCGAGAAATTGACAACAGAGGCATGTGCTCTTGACAAGCATTTTCTCTGGCCTGTTTCTTTCTATAGATAATCCTCCTATTGGATATTGTATGGTTGGTCTCTCATCACTCATGAGTGCTTATGGGGAAAGCTGAGAGAAATTCCTGAATATGATGTATCCACCCTGGTCACTCTGGTCTCACTTTGAAGTATTAGCGAACGTCAAACATATTTCTTGTACTTTCTTTGGTTTCATCATATGAATTCTCTAGGGCAGTCGAATTCCAATCATTCTCCGCCTCCTCGGAATTATTCTCCCTCGGAAATGTTGACCCGCACGAGCAGAATCTTCACCGCTCTAGTTTATCGCTGCCTGAGGTTAGACTCGACGCCAAAGGCATTACGGGGTTTTACCCTCATCTCTCTAGATAATCAGCAACTATTAGTATAACGATTCTGAGGAAATCTGCTTTGGCCTTGTACACTTTGTACATGGCTACATGGCTACATGGGCAATCTAAACGGTTGGAAAACGTGGTCCTTGCTAGATTTCATCATCATGATAACTGTTAGGGATATATATTCCCATCCCAGATACGGGGCCATGCGATATGGTTGACTGGGCTTGAAAGGAATGTACGACCAGACTGATTGTCTCCGACATATCCGTGCTTATATGCAGCTTGTTAGAACTTAACCTTGTTTCTGGTAACCACCAGCGGTTCCTACAGTGTCATCCTGGTAAGAATTGGTTACACTCAACACGTTTTGCCCTAGTTACGATGAGCTCCGGTACTTTTGCGACCGGTGTAACTCTTCAATTCCTCAGGATCAGAAAAGGGGAATGCTTCTGAACTGAAACATCTAGGAACAGTAAAATATCAGTAGAGAGCCAGGATGAAACGCCCCGTATGAAATTGCGGCTCAGCTGCGTATCTACCCTCAACATCCTGGTTGGCCAATGGCACTGGAGACGATGCCCAGTGCCGATGCGGTCCCGAGGCAACCCAGTCACATCATGAAAGACCACTCAACTAATCATACTTTGTTACATTCACTTGAACCTCAACCAGTCTGTATCTATGATTGACAGCCCGTAACTTCATGCCTGCGGAGCACCAAGCGGGAGGAAAAGTGGACCTCGCACGCTGATCCCCGTGCCGACACTCACATCCTGACATCCCAGGGCATACTTTCTGTGATAAGTAACTTCTACAGCCATGGTCTAGCATGTTTTGTTTATATCAAAGCCGTGCAAAGCATTGTCCGGAGAATCTTTGCCGGCCATCTACACCGTATCTTCATGGCATGATGCTTCACCGTAGTTTAGCTGAAACGACCGGAGCTACAGTGGGGATGGAGACTCCAGCATCTCCGCTAAAGCGGGACTTGGGAGATGATCAGCAACTTAGTCTGCTTTTAGGTTCGATTTTTCATGTCAACACCAGCGCACATGCTGCAAAACAGTAGTGCTGGTCAAGCGTGTCTATTCGAATGACCGAAGACCATCTTTTCAAATGTGAATGTCATTCATTGGTCGGGTGGAAAACACAGACAGCCGAGTCGGATCTTGACACGGGACAAATATTCATGCATTTGAAGCTAAGTAAGGCTGATCTCACAATAGTCAGTGGGTCGCATAACTCACTAAATGGTAGTCCATGCTTGGCAGGACTGGTTGTCTTAAGCCAAGAGCCCGTCTTATTTTTGTTATTATTCTGCTATACCGCGGGCATACGTCTTCGCGAAGTGACCTCTTCCCTCTCACTACATTCCTCACTTGTCTCCTCTGCACCCGGAGAGTTCACATCACCACGGACAAATCAACACACAATCAAAATGGGCTGGTTCCCAGTCGGACTCGAAGAGGGTGAGAACAAATGGAAGTTCGACATCATCCCTCTGCTGGCTGTCATAGGCAGCTCAGCAATCCAAAAACATATGCAGGCTATTACGGCCTCTCCCTTCGCCATTTTTCCCCGGTTAATGCCCGCCCCTGAGTCGCTTCTCGACACAGAGCGACCAACACGACCACCATCCGTCAAGGACGTCAAAATCGTCGGTGTCAAATCAGGCATAGAATTAGATGAGCTGAACTTCTTTGCGAACCTCATCCACAATGTAAACGACATGGAAGAATACGAATTCCGCGTCTACAGAATCAGCTACGCGACGCGTGATTCCGAAGAAGGACAAAACTCGAAGATCGCATCAAAGGTGGAAGAAAGTTACCGACGAGTCAACAGGCATCGAATCCCAATCAAACTCAAGACATTTTGCTGGCTCAATTTTGTTACTCTCGTCTCAATCCTCATCACTATTGGCCTTTATATCTGGGCGGGCTGCATCCATGACGGTACCGCCCTCGTCGGTCTGGCTACCATGTCTTTGTCAACCAGTGTAGCCAGTCTATCGGCCCGGTGGTACCCCCGCCTCAGTGGTCGTTCGTCGCAAGCGGAAGTTCCCAGTGGCGACGTGATTATTCGCACCCGGGCAGGTGCTTTCATCCTGGTCTACGGAGATGACGATGTCATCCGCGAGTTGTACGAAGGAATGGAGGACTGCGAGTACATGTTCAAGGGGAACACGCACCACCGACTGTTAGGAACTAGCACATTACTGCTCATGGCGTCGATTATCCTGCTGAGTAACTGCGGTTCAGAGATGCAGATTGCCATCGGTGTCGCTTACATCATTCTGAACGCCCTGTACTGGCTGTTGGCGTTGTTGGTCGAGCCGCGCGATCTGTGGGATATGAGCAGATATAAGATTGAGTTTGTCGAGTGTCGTCCGAGTACCCCCGACTCGAGCTACACCGAGACATTGTGGGCTGTCATTAATATGACGGGAAGTGTGGAGTGGGTAGCGAATGGTGAATTGATACCCCAAACGCCGGCTTGGGATCAGTGGTTGCAGGAAGCCAAGGAGCATATTGGAAAGGACTGGGATCCTGTTAGAAGGAAGGATGAACTGATGAATCCTAGATTGGCGTACCGCAATGGACGGTGGTTTGACTGAGTCGGGCCTTTTGATACGGTTTTGTAACTAACACAATAATTATGATCAGTTAACTCTCATATGTATAAATAACAAACATACATAGAATTGGTGACCTCTGCAAGATCACTGGCATATATACTATACCTATTTGGGTCCCCCAATCCACGCTGGGCCGGGAGTAATGCCAGTAGTTTGGCAGTCCACCCCTGTAAATTGATACCTACACCTTAAAAGACCTCGCAAACCCACTTACTAAGTCGGATGGATCTAGAACATAAGCAGGGGTTTCAGCACAGTCTTTGATGGGTGCATGTCCGTGGATGCAGGCCATATTATTAACCTCAGGCAGGAATGATTATGTGTTGAAAGCGGTGAGACCCTGCCGAGGATAAACCACAGCTTTCCCAGTCCACGAAGCGGAAGTGATGGAATGCACAGTAGCAGCTTCTCTTACTAATTCCATCTACGGGGCTCCACATGAAGCCAATGTTTGGACTACAATTCCCCGTTGTCTCCGCAATCACCATCCATCACAGGTCTCTGAGCTTTGCCAAGCTGTCGCGATGCCTCGAGTATTGAAAAGGAACGGAGTGTGGGTTTGGCGCTTTGTGTGATTGGGAGAAATTTTGGGGGACCATCGGGTCAGAAGATATTTGATGGCGGTGTAAAGGTGGGTATGGTCGTGTCTATGGGGTGTCATGCTGGGGCTGGGGTGGTAGCTGGGGTTCTTGTGGGGGTGTACTATGTTTGCTTTAGTGGGAGGAGAGGTGGTGATGGGAGTATTAGTGGTGGTGGTGATGTGTAGAAATTGAGTTATGGATGGTTATCATAGAGATGGGTATTGTTCGTTAGTAATATACTGGGTAAATACTGTTACTTGCTTAATACTAACTGAATAACCGCATAATGTGTACAGTTAACTGACTATATAAATTGGGTTGGCTGATTGGTAACCTCACAACCCACCCCCATCTACCCGAGTCGTTCACCTCCGATGCACCAGTTGAGCACGTCATGGGAACAATAACTGAGCCATATGACCGAGTCGCTCAGTGCCGATGTGGAATGTATCCTGTTGATGAATGGGATTTTGATATGACTAGTTTATTAGTGGGAAGTAGGATCGAAGTGCATTTTAATAGTAGCTGGACTGATTGTCAGCACCCCTAGCAGCAGTGACCAGCCAAGTTGGCCTCTTGGACTTTCAGCTTTGAAACCAACGTCCTGATTTACTTGAATAGCAGTAAGGTCTCATGTACGACCACAGGGTGTGGAATACAAGAATAAGCGAATTGTTTTGTGTACCTGTTTCCATACAGAAGACGCAGATATAATAAATATATATATGTATATATTTAACCAGGAGACATGGGCAAAGGCCAAACTCCACACCTCCAAATGGCACAACAGTCTATCCAGACACTAGGCCGACAGGGCCTCTGGTATCACCAACGTTGCTCGCACAAGGAAATTTCTAGTTTCCTGGAAACTTCTTGTGATAGTTGACAATCGCAGCTTCGGCCTTCTCCAAACACTTCTTCCACTCCGAAGCCGAGCATGAAGGAAGATCACGGAATTCGAAAAGGGGCAGTTGCTCGGTAGGATGGTCCAGACGATGCTCAGTCAAGTCTCCGTACCCTCCAACTTGGCCATCAATCATCTCTTTATCAGCATCCTTAAGCAGATCTTTGCCATCCTTCAAACCCTGGATCCAGGCCTTAACATTGACAGGGCAGGACTGTGACCCGTAGCAGATGTTGATTTGCAGTTTCTCGAACTTGCCGTTGATCGTTGTCTGTCCGGGGTGCCCAGAGCAATACCGCTCGTCAACACTGAAATCAGATATTGTTAGTGAATATTCCCTCAGGTAAGGTAGTTGCACCAGACTTACGCAGCATATTCATGTGCATCGTCGATAGGGTTCTCATAACAAGCAAGCTTGTTCACAATAGTCCACAGATCCTTCTTCTCAAGCTTGCTCTCAATGAGCTTGTACATCTTGGAGAAACTGGTGCGCGGCATAATCGACGTCAATTCCTTAGCACTCTCACTGTTCCGGACTTGGCTGCCCGCCTTGGCATAGGAAAGAAGAAGCGAAAGGAATCCGCGAACATCCTCGCCAACATCCTTGGTAAGACCACCAGGTTTCTCCTCGAAGAAGAAATCGTTCACCCAGACCTTGTTCTGGATTTTACTATTGGCGTATGTCATGAGAGGTGAGGGCTTGTTAAGTTTGGCTTGCTTGATCAGGTCGTTGATGGCCCCAAGCGGCATTGGGGAGGTGATCTGACGAGACCAGGCGGAGTTCACAGGGTTAGTGCCAGCCTTGACAGACCAAGGGTTCTTCTTATTGCTGGCAATTTCAACCTCCTGGCCGGTCTTCGGGTTCCACTTTTTCTGTATAAGGAGGTGGTCAGTTAGTCTCTTCGTGCATCTCCAAGTCAGTTGTGGTGCGGTTATCATACCAGATCTTCATAGACCTCCTCCGCTGCAAGTGCAGCTCTCCCAGTACCCAATTTGATCTTCCTTCCATCCAAGATATACTCAGCAGGTAGATGTCCCAGCGTGCCTCCGGTGGCATCCGCTGTCAGTTCCCAGTCTTTACCCGACAACTTGGCACCGTTTCCGTCCTTGGCTGATTTAAATGTAACAGCCTTGCCTTTGGCAGCGATACCAGCTTCCTTCACCGCCTCTTTCTCTTTCTCAGACAATTTGTGAACATCTTTGGTGAAGTAGATACTCCCGGACTCGAACTCAACGCCAATACCCGGAGAGGCTACACCCGAGCGTTCGATGAGTTGGCCGTCGATGGGAGAGGCAGTACCGAATTGAAAAGAAGAGAGTGATAAGAAAAGTATAGCCGCATGGCTCCAAGAGAGAGTGGGAGAATACATTGTATAATGAGAGACTAGACGAGAAAAGAGTGAATGGGGAATAAAGGAAAGACTTTGAGAGATACTCTGTTGGGGATTTCTGAAGACCGGTGTCCCTAGCTTCCTTGATATACTTTTTTCCCTTCAATGTACGCCATACTAAAAGTATAAAAGCTCGAAATCTATCATGGCTCCCAAGCTATTACAGCCCGAATTTCATGGCGGCCCCAAGGCTACAGAGGCTCTAAGGATACAACGGCCCCTGAAGCCATAACAGTCCCACCTCGAACGTTGCCTAGGTAGAAATTACATGGTATCATTGGCATTGTGCACCTCATCCTCAAGAAGCGGATTCGAATTCCCAGATCTAAAGATAATTGAGTGTGGCGTGCAAATAGTGGTATCCGAATAGACTGTGTTATGAAGATAAAGGGTAGTATTTTAGACACTTCCGAGTATCGAAAGTACAATATGAGGCACGCGATATAAATCACTACAGTATACAAGACCAAAGATCATCAGTGGACCCTGAAGGAGGATCCGAGTTTGTCATGATTATGGCCCCCAGTAGGAAGTTCGTAGGCCCCCATGTAGATCCTGAAACCAGGGTGCAAAGAGCCTCCACTAGGCTCTGCACAAGCATCCACATAGACCCTGAATGTCTCATTCATAGCGCCCGGATTAGGCACCATGCAGACCTTTACGGAGACCCTGAGCCTAATATGGAATGGCCCCCAATCGCCTCACAATGGCCCCCACGTGGTCCATGAAATTAGTAGTATAGGGAGAGCCCCCGTCAATTCGTATATTGGCTCGGTCCGAACAGAAGCGCCCACCGTAGGTTCACATAGACTCTGAATCAACCAAGTTCGCAGTAGCAAGTGTCTAAAGATTTTGTAGGCGTTAGAATCTTGAAGAAAGGCTTTGCGAACACGTCCAGGCCCACATATAGACTAAGTCATATAGAGCAAAGCCACCCGCTAATGATCACATAAGCGCTAAAACGAACATGGAAGGAGCCCCTGCCAGGCGTCATATTAGCCCCCATATCTGTCCTAAAATGACTCCAAAAAAGACCTTAGGTCAAGTCTGAATATTGGAAGGTGTATTGAGAGACTGAATCGCTGCAATGGTTAATGCAGATCTATTTTAGGCCCATTTGCCAATCACATGACCTTGGAGTCTCTAAGAAGCAAACAGACGCAAGATAACACATGAATTATTTCTCGGCGAATCAACCTATCCCAGACTCTGTTTATCACACTCATTATGTACACATTTTCAGGATTTGCCCACATTCCTACAGAGGTCTTAACCAGAATATACGGGGAACTGCCTCTTCTTGATGCGCTTCGTTTGGCCGCGACTTGCCGTCGACTCCGCCAGGTCTTGATTGACAACACGCCTACGATCTACAAACGCTTACGCAGAAGAATCCCCTGTGAGCGATATGCAAGAGTGCTACTGGCGGACCAAGGTGGTTCACCACCTCAATATTCGTCAGTGAATATTGGGGATCTGTTACGATTGCGACAGAACTCTCGTTTCGTGGAGAAAGCGATCGAGGTGTTCGATCGTGATATTACTCCGAATATTCGAAGTATGTAGACAGATCAGGAAGCCCAATCATCATATGGGGTCTTTACTAAGAAAATGTCTTACAGTCCCTCTTACAAGCATTGACAATAAGTTCTATGGTGGAAAACCACGTCCATTGCACTTGACCCCAACAGAACGTCATCGCTTCACTCGAAGCTACTACCAAGTTTGGAGTCTTCTACTTCTTGACCAGTCATCCCGCCAACAGCGATATCGAACTATGTTGCTGAAGCACTTGTACATGATATACGAAATGGTTGATCTTGACCAGCCTATCGGGGACGAATCGGAATATTCCCCAGCTGACGAGAAACGATGCGCACTCTCTGAGGAAGTAAGCGAATACCTCCGTTTTCTATATCACGGCATCCATGGAGTCGACTACATCGATTTCTCGGGGCAAAGTGTTTCTATGCGAACGCAAGGCCATGCAGCTATATGGGATCATTGTCAGCCTGATTTGAAGAAGATTGTGTGCTACCAGTGGCGAGATCCGGAGAAGAAGCCTGTTGGGGAGGAAGATGTGTGGGCTCACACAACTGATGAAGAATGAGCTCGTCTTTTGACTTGATGGTGAATGGTGTTGCCCAAGCGGTCAAGCCACGACTGATTGCTAGAAAGAAGGAAGGATTTACAGTGGCTAAGACTGTCAAGACCCTACCTGTAATAACAATCTCAAAGCGCATTTTTCTTGACGGTCTTGGATTCCGAAAGCCGCAGTAAATCCGAGTCAGAAGTCTGGGTTGGTGGTGAGGGTTTAGATACTCAAAAAGTCAACATTTCCCAGGCTGGAATAAGGTTAAAGCAGTACTTTGTACTCCGTGACACCTGTAACCCAACTTACTTGCACGCTATATGAATATCTGACAGTTAGAATACCGTACATACGACCACAGGGTGTGGAAAACAGGGCTTCCCGTCCGCTCAGCCGTACTTAAGCCACACGCCGGGAGGTTAGTAGTTGGGTGGGTGACCACCAGCGAATCCCTTCTGTTGTATGTATTCTTCTTTTTTTGCCTTGACCCTACACAATTATGGGTGAAATGTTGGTCAATGTATCGATCATTCTACAAGATGAAGGGATGGCCACGCGTGATCTCAGCAGTCATACACCTATTGGTGGCTTGCTGCCTCAGGAGCCTCTCATTCTTCCTGAACGAAGAGGAACATTTGTGGACATATGTAAAAAAAAGGAAAGTTTTGGCATCGGAGTTACTTTACTCAGTCGCCATATTTGCATATGTCTTGCCAGCTTCAGCGATCCGTCGCTTGAAATATACGGGACACCCTGTCAGGCCCTGTTCAGTCTCCCATAGCTTTCTACAGGGTATATATATCCTTACAACTCGTGTAGCCTAAGTATCAAGAACGGAATCTAAGCCTTAGCATTGCCCGTAGACATAGAAGCCATCGCATCTTTCTCTATCTAGGGAGATAATAAAGTAGCACACTTTACTCAGTGCCATTTCCACAAGCGTTGATCAATCCCGTGCCTATAGCACCATGCCGTCAGATGGGAAGATATTAATTGCTTATTCCCACTAATATAGCTACCAGACTTGCTGTCTTTGTAAACTCGCACGTCCAGTTTGATGCCCCTTTTAGTGTTGCCTTCGTCTGGTCAACTAGAGGAAACCTTCTCAGGAACGGCGGGTACATCGAAGCCGCACAGGCGACTCCGGATGGGCTGAGAAAGGGGAAGTATCCATGCGCGGTGCAGGAGCCTGGTGGATAGGACTGCCGTGCTTATCACACAGGGTAATGTCGAACATCGTGACCAACCTTGCCACTGTCATAGCAGCATAGATATGTGCGAACTAGCAGCTGTTAATTTCCGTCTCTGTGGCCTCTACAGGTTCGACTTACCCTTCGACCGGCTTTGCATTCAAACGACCCAGACTTGTATTAGATCTTTACTCATTATTAATAGGTGTGTTTACTTACGACATTTGCGACGCCCTGCACCGAAGCCAGTAAATGCAATGGCCTCTTTCAAACGCTCTGCACGGTCCGGCAGGAAGCGCCCTGGATCCCAGCGTTGCGGACCGGGGTAGATTTCTGGGTTTCGGGCCCCATCTCGAAAGTCATATGTCTGTTACATCGTTAGGGGGTTGTAGTATAGCACAGGGAGCCATTTAAACGTACAGCATAGGCCCCTGGCGGTATTACCTCGCCCGTGTCTCCGATCTTAACATCAGTTGTGCTGATATTCTTACGAAACACTACTGGAAGAACTGCTAGTCGAATGCTCTCTAGGAGACATGCATGGAGAAGAGGAAACTCATGCTCCCAGGTATGCATACTCAGGGATCGCAGGACTTGGTCCGCAGATTCACCATTATCCTGGTATCTGAAGATCACCTGGCTAACCTCCTTCCGCACTTGAGCCATCCAGTGTCCGTCGGTAGAAAGCCCTATGAGTGTCCATGACGTTACCGTCGGAGTGTTCCCTTGGGCTCCGAATGCAGCGCCCAGCACAACCTAATATACATTGGCAACTGTTAATGATGCAATATGTATCAAAATATCTCCTTACCTGCAAAATCGCTCCTGTACTCCATCCCCTGTCGATCAAATCGTGTAGCATGCCATGCTTCCCGGGATGATCTTTATGTGGTTGCTGCTGCTGCTTTCTATTGCAGATTACCTTCGACATGAAAGTAGAAAGGCGTGCGAGGACAACCAACGTACTGACAATCCATGGGTTCAACGGCCATGGAACCACGATATCAATCGCCGTAAAAGTTCCTTCCAATGCGCCCAACATGTCACTTACCCTCCTCGACAACTCGGAGGAGCTCGCCAGTTCACCGATTCCCATTGCGGCCATGGCAGACTGAGTGAAGGACCATGTAAGCTCCCGGAAAGGATCGAACAGACCTTTCATCGCGATGTGATCCAAGGTTGCGGTTGTGTATGCTTCTATGGTTGCAGGAATAGATTCCAGGGTCTGGGTGCGCAACAGGGTTGTGCGCACTACGGACCGAAGATTTGATGGATGCGCATCGCTGGCAAAAATATCGGCTTGTAATGCTAGACTAGCCCAAGGGAGGAATAAAGCAGACCTGAAATTTGTTCGTGGAGTTAGTGAGCTTCCCCGTGATGTGCGGTCAGAAAAAACGATAAGAGTGATAACCGAACCCTGCGTCTAGATCGAGATCACGGCTCTCGAAAAACGTCCTGCGGCCCTGTGGGCCAGACAGGCCCACCACTCGATCCCGGCCAAGATAAAAGCTATAGTTGCCAGTGGGTGAAGCCATCTTACTGCGGTGACAGAATCCTTCTCGATCGTTGACGAATTGCAGGGCACCCACAAGCGGGTAACCCGCGACAAACTTTGGGGCATTGGAGGGAAATGGGCGCTTCCAAAGCAGTCTAATACACTGAGCAACGAATAAGAAGATAACGAAATACGAGCAACGCCCGAGAATGTGGAATACCGTTTCAATCATGGCTGTGATTGATTGTGGGTAAACTGAAGTCTTCTCCAGCGATCCACGGCTCCTCCTCTTTATAAATATGCCCAAGACATCAAATATGGAAACTACAATGTTGATAAAACCATGATCCGATTCTCCGCTGCCCTCCAAGCTCAGAGGTGGCCATATGCGTCCTGCTATTGGAAAGTCTACGTGAGATGTGCATCTATTGATAAAGTATATAGTATCGGTGACGGTCGGTGTGTTGAGTGGTATGACAGGTCGATCGCGGCGTGCAATCATTGTGATAGACGGGCTAAAACTCCGCTTGAAACATTTGTCAGGCAATTTGACAACCAATAACCGAAAGCAAGAAGGAAAGACAAGACAATGCGTAATGACTCAGGTTGTCACTCGACAAGTCCGTACATGGTCACATTTGGCGTTCTTCAGCATAACGCCGCTTGTTTCTACAACCACACCGCTCCAGCCTCCATCTGAAAGTCTCTCGGCTATGCATGTTGACGCAATGAGGATGCTTTATATTGCAGGGAGCAACTGCAATGGAGCTCTTACCGCCTCGAGAATGGGCCAAAAGAAGTGAATTGCCTAGACTTCCTCCGATCTCGTTGCCATTGACAGTCGGATCTTGGGAAATACTTGACGAATGTAAGAAAAAGTATGTCAAGAACGGCTTAAACTCAATGTCACTCAACTAGGGAATAAAGGTGGGAGGGTGGGGGGAGGGTGGTGCGTACCACACTATAAGAAGTAGACGTTCCGGGTCCTTGGAGTACGATTCGGCAAACTTGTCACCATCCTGAGCCATGGCAAGCAAGTACACTTTGAAGACGAAGAATCCCCTGTGTCGAAATCAAAGTGATGGGATACATCCATTATATACTAAGCAAAGTGACATAGAGGGATGGTACCTGGTGGCGACTGAAGATCTGGGGCGTTTAAGATGGGTCTATGTGAATGACGAGATGGAGCGAAAAGCTAGGCCTCAAGATGCCACAACGAAGTTCTTTCTGGAGATACCAACGGTACAGTTCAAGATGGCTCGTGTTCTGCAAGCCTTTGACGATACTAATCAGATATTTAAAAACTAGGCCAGTCCCGATCCACGTCCCGCCAAAACGACCACTGAGGCTATTCAAAGGGGTGCCCGCTTTCATACCAACACACAAGTCCGTGATCTCGGTTGTTGGGCTACCGATATGAGTTGCATATTCTTTGTAACCCCGATGATGATAATCGCATGGTATATCACCGGTGCCCAGATTGATGAAGCCTATATCGTCGAATTGATCCGCTTCATGTTCAACTATCAGAACCCCGAGAACGGTGGCTGGCCAACGTACCTAGAAGAGGAGCCTTCGCCGATGGGGACGACTCTAGCATACATTGCATTGAGGCTTGTGGGAGTTCCGGCCCACGACGAGCATCTCCTCAAAGCCCGGTCATTCTACCTTAAACATGGAGGAGTAGACCATCTTCCAGGCTGGGCCAAATTCTGGCTTGCTCTGCTGGGGCTATACAACTGGGCAAAGACTGACCCCTACCCAGTAGAGATGTGGTGAGCTCTTGGTCCCCTCGTTACGTGCTAGTGCGATGGTGTGATGATACTGACATGTTGTTAGGCTCTTGCCCGAGTGGGTACCAGTAAGTCCATGGCAATGGTTCGTAGCCACACGCCAGGTCTACCTGCCCATGTGCTACCTCTCGTCCCGAAGGTTTACGGTGCCCACCAATGATCTCTTGGATGAAATCCGGCTAGAGCTATTTCCTCCTCAACCGTCTGTCAGATTTGGGGTATCTGATATAGTCAAGGGCCTATCTAAGCGCCACCAACCAAAAAGCTGGATCCTGCAGACTCTAAATTGGGCCCTTACGAACGTGTGGTCCCCGTGGCTTTGTCCCAGTAAACTGAAGGAAGAAGCCGAAAGACGCACGTGGCAAATCATACAAGATACAGACAGGGCTAGCTGTTCGACTGGGCTTCTTAGTGTCGACGCTTGGCTGAATATGATTGCCTTCTACTGCGCTGAGGGGCCCAAATCCCCTACATTGAAGCGAATGCATGAGACGAGTCTGGAGTATTTGGCTATGAGTCCGCAGGGGATGCAATCCATGAGTGTACATGGGGGTCATGCGTGGAACACGTCATTGGTGCTACAGACTCTCGTGTATGCTGGCCTTGCAAATCACCGCGACTTCCAAGACAATGTCTTACAAGCGCATGAATGGCTACGACAGCAGCAACTTGTGGATGAATGGGATGAATCTCCTTCTTGCCATCGCCCAAGTCGGCTCGGTGCTTGGTCCTTTACTACCCGTTACCATGGCACCCCTTGTTCTGATTGCACCGCTGAGTCATTGAAAGCCATCCTGCTGGTGGAAAGGGAGATGGGCATCCGACGAATGAGTGAGCAGAACCTCCGTTTGGCAGTCGACAATCTCCTTCTGATCCAGAATGCCAGTGGCGGCTATAGCAGCTTTGAGCCTATTGCCGCAGGCGAGTGGTTGGAGTACCTGAATGGGACCGAAGTCTTTGGTCAGGTAATGACAGAGCACGACTATCCGGAGTGCACTTCCTCATGTATCGTGGCCCTAGCACTCTTCAGGAACCGAAACGGGAAATACCGCCGGAGAGAGATCGACACAGCCATTGAGCGCGGCGTCAAGTATATAGAGACAAGCCAGCGGGATGATGGGGGCTGGATGGCCTCTTGGGGAGTCACATTCACTTATGGTGCTTTCTTCGCGATGGAAGCCTTGCACTGTGGGGGGCGGACATATGAGAACTCCTCGGTGGTCAGATCAGGTTGCCAATTTCTACTCGATATGAGGGAGCCAGACGGTGGGTGGGGTGAGACAATAGAGGTAGGTGGCATGGATCTCCCCGTGTTGTTGTATGCTGACAAATGTGTTGGACCAGTCTCGCTTGCTTGGTCAATATGTACGGGCACCTAGATCGCACACGGTTCAGACAGCGTGGTCTTGCCTCGCGTTGATGTACGCTGGTTATCCTGACCAGGAGCCTATCAAACGGGGGATTGAACTGATCATCAGTCGACAAAAGCCCAACGGTAAATGGGAACAAGAATATCCCGTCGGCAGTGGAGTGCTTACATGGTATGATATTAAGTGCTCCTCGAAAAGGTTCGACATCCATACTGATGAGACACAGCAATATTCAATATCAAAACTACATATACATTTTTCCAATTCGCGCACTAGCCATGTATGAGAAGATATACGGGGAAGGTTTGTCTTCGAAGGGATAGTGCCATCTTCAAGTTATGATTTCCTTCGGGATGCCGCACGCTGCAACGAGTGATGAGAGACTCCAGTCTAGTTATTATCAGAATGATACATCTTTCGGTTTTCCATAATAATTCCTCGGAACACCTGAACATGTGGAACTACATGCTCCACAAGTAGCCTCCAAGACGACCCTTATGCACTGTTATGTGGGAAGCAAGTACATTCTGCATACTATATTTGAAGGATTGATACACTGGCGCCATCCACCCATAGTCAGAAATCAGTTTCTTCCATGATAAATTCTGAAGATCTGCGGGACTAGTACAGCTTGATACTTCCGGTTTTCCATACACGACTATTGTTGAGAGTTGGAACTGTCCCAAGCAGTGTGTTGCACATTTATCACGTATTTTAATTCCCCGTCTCGCACAATGGGCCGAACCACGCGCCGCCCACCACCTCCTCCCAGCCCTCGTTCCCGACACATCGCCAACACCAAAACACATTTTCCGGGTCATACTTCTTCTTGACAGACGCAAGCAAGTTGTAGTTATCTCCAAACCAGTCCTGCCTCCAGTCTGGGTCGTACGGATCGGCCTCGTTTAAATAGGTTCCCATACCCGGAGCCATGTCCTTCATTGCTTTCAATTTGATTTGGGTGAGATCGTTTCGGTACTGTTGAATCTCCTCGGTACCGGTATTGTTGGGCCAGACATCGATTTGCTGGAATAGGAGGTGGGACCTCCGCCACGCGGGGTTCATGGATGTATGAGGGACGGGGTCGAGAACCTTTCCGCCGGCGACGATGTTAAACAGGGTTGCCCAAAGGGTGCTATTTGGGACTGTCTGAGCAGTGACGGTCTCAAGAAGGCTAGTTAGGTTATTTTTTGGTGACTCCAGTGTTTGCTTGTCAAACAGTCGTGATGCCATGATCGGCCTGTTCGAGCCCGGTGTTGTATGGTGCGTGCTGGAGTAGTATGCATGGAAGGTCGGATAGGTGGTGAAGGTGGATGTAATTAGATACGAGGTTCCGTTGTGCGGGAGCAGGTCATCTAGAACGAGATGGTTCATGACATCTTTTGCTCTGTCTAGAGCCTCGGTGGAATTGTTCTCAAGGAGATTCAGGAAAGGATGTGTATAGACCAACGGTCCAGCTATAGCCGAGAGAATAGCAGTGCCAGAGTACCCTGCATCGGAGAGAGCGGGCAACTTGGACATTATTCTGCCGGTCGCGTTGAGTACTGCATCGTCATTTCCGTTCAGTGCAACGATGTCTAGGCTATGGCCCAGTACAGGACGCGTTGGGTGGGCTTTGATCGTGGCCGATAAGACCACACCATAGGTGCCTCCACCACCTCCACGGAGGGCAGTGAAGAGGTCTGCATACTGACAGGCGTTGGCAGTGACAAGCCTTCCCGATGCTAGCACAACTTTGTATTCCAGAACCTGGTCTGCCCCAAGTCCAAAGAAGTGGCTAACGGGCCCATGGCCACCACCTTGCATGAAGCCTCCAAGGACACCAACAGTCTGACTCATTAACACGGATGCGCATCATACTTCGGCCTCCAGGGATAGACTTACCGGATCTGCTCCACCAACAGCGATGACACCATGCTGGGCAGCAAAATCGTATACGTCCTGCCACACATGTCCACCGCCTACGGTGATGGCACTTCCAGTCCAGTTCGATGGACAGGATCCATTCCCGGGAGCGTATCTGTCGTGATAATGAAGTCCATCTTGTATAGACTTGATCCAAATGGAAAGGCTACCATATCCTTGCGATCTGATGTTGTTAGTGCGTATACAATCACGGGAACGTGACGATGTGTTCTCACCGCTGTGAAATATCATGACCTGTGTTCTTGATGACCAACCTCACATTGTGGTCCCTTGCAAACTTAATCCCAGCAGCAACATCAGCTGCCGTTGTCGCCTTGACACTGTACACGGGATAGTTTCCCAGGTCGCACTGGGGATATCCAGCCAGAGTGGCATTGACAGGGGGGCAGCTTTCCACGAGTGGATAGCTATATCCAATGGGAAACTCTGCCAGGTACTCATTGCTTGTCCAGTTGGAGCTGATACGTTGACAGAGCTCGGAACTGTAGCCTGGGCCTTGGTAGCACGGTTTAGCAATCGGCTCGTTGCGCGCCAGCTTTCCGCCAACGGAGCTGTTTAGGGCGCTCCATGTGTCTATAGAGGGCCAGCACTCATCCGTAGGGGCCTGTATCCTCGAGAAGTAAGCTATCCCCGCGTCATCTAAGAGGTAAGGAGATCAGGTGATAACATACACATTTGCATTTGGCAAATACAGACTGTGCCCCAGCCAGGAGTAGGATACTGCTTAGAAGCATTTTAAAGACAACTTGTCTTGCTGTATTATTATCGAACCTTCAAAATTCATTGCAGACATCAAGGTAAGGGCAAGATCTTATACTCGTCGCGCCTCAATGCTCAGCAGGCGACGCCGTAAGCAGCGCAATATATTGCGCTCATAGCCACTGAGCACGGAACGGAAGTTATTGCACAGGTATCCAGACCTTGCGCTCAGAAAGTAACCGGCAGCGACGTCCAGAGACGATCCAACATACAGTCACCTTCCACTTTGGACATGTCTTACAAGACCTCAAGAACCATAATCGATGAACAATCCAATTCTGACTGCAGTGAACAATGTAAACATCCTGACTTAGAAGGAGTCGAGGCCCACATTGCGCCGAGGGGGTGATATGATTCGTCGCAGCGACAACATCTCCAGCCGATGCCGATCCCTCAGCCTCATGGGGGCCATGGACACCGGCCATCTTCAACCCCTCCACGGTCGCATTGCTCTATATCGTCAGACCAACTGCGATACCCATAAATGCAAGGACAAAGAGCTCAACGAGGCCCTAGAGGCAAATATGCACGTTTAATCTGCCGAGGGTGCCGAGCTCGTAAAATCAAATGTGTGCTGGCTTGCCCGGTGGCCTCATTAGGCCCACTGGGTACTCCACAACCTCCGGCAACATGTTGCGAGAGATGCCGCAATCTCGATCTCGAATGCATTGTCGAGAGCAATCCTCTAGGCCGGCCAGCAGCGAAAAGCGCAAATCGCGGAAACGTGGCCAGCAAATCGCCCCAGCCAGACACTTCCAGTTCACCGCGTCCAAGCCCCCAACAAGATGAGAAAGCGGCCAAGCTCTCCGACTCCATTCAGCAGTATCTTTTCTCGGGCGCGATACTAGACGACCATTCCATGCTGCAGGAATTGCCGGATGCCACGGAGTCTACATCCGATGCCGACCGTCTTTACCATGCCATGGCCAACACCAGCACCTTTATCGCGGGGGTGTTGGCTAAGGATGCTTCTTTCGGCTCTACCATTCAGCTGGTGTCCAGTTGGAGCCTTTCTCTGACAGATACAGTGAGCCACGATCTTGCTGCCACGCTTGACAACCTGTAAGATCAGGCGCAGAACTGACCTAATCTCATCAGCTGGCTAAATCGTTGCTAGATTAGCGTGGCACCGTCTCTTCGTTATTGGCACACCAAGTTTGCTACACTTGAGAGAGCGTTTGTTCTCCACCGATCTCAATACCAATAATGTTGCCACCAAGCTGCTTTTCGCAGTGCTTTGCTTGGCTGCCTGTGAATGTTCAAAAAATGTTCGTCGTCAGAACGGATCCCTCAGAGACACTCTACTGCAGGCCGTTTCGTCATACGGCCAGGACTTCATCTTCAGTCCTCCCACACACATAGACTCCGTTGCTGTCTGTCGCTTCTTATCGGCGTTCAAGCCGACCGCCTTGGCCACGTCTAAAAGAGTTGCAAGTCATTCCATTAAAGCCGAGCTGTATCTTACTATAGCATATCGAGTCGCGGAGCGCCTAAGATTGTTACCTGAGCCAGGAGCCACGCCATTTCTGGATACGACTGCAATCGACAGTGTAGTGATGGAGCGTGAGCTAGCCCTGTCAATACAGGGCCTTGAGATAACGGCCGAGGAATTTCTGATGGGTGATTTTCTGACAATGACCCTGCCAGATTTCCGGCAGGTTCTTCAACGGATGCAACCTCATATAGACTCCTATCAAATGTTCCTGGAGACACACTCCTGTTCACCAGTCATTATCTTCCACATCAAATGGATTACAGCCACATATATGCAGATTGAGGCAATGGCAAACACGAAGCAGTCCTGGATGAATCCCAGTCGGCTGTTCATCGTTGTCGAAGAGGGCGAAAAGAAATGCCTCGCAGAGATTAACTCTTCCTATCAGCTATTATCAGAGGCAACCAAATGTGAACAGGAGAATGAGGTTATAATGATGTCCTCACTGCTGGAGCTGCGCTTCCATGCCGTTATTGCCAAAGTCTTTGGCCTCGGCCTTTTCTATATATGCGTCTGGAAAGCAAGGATGGAAAAGGATCGGCCACGCAAGAGCACTGATATTCACCCGGGTGAAGCAAGTCAGATGGGGAACACCGTCATTAACTCCATGATGGCAACACCAGACTTTGAAAGCGACTCACACTTTTTCAGTTTCTTGCGTCATTTTGGAGGAAGATATCCAAACAAGTTGCAAGGGATCCTCGCCAAATTCATGGAGTGCGCAGCAATGAAGCACGGTGGCATCGACTACATTGCGCCAGTCCGGCCAATAGTAATCGAGGTTGTGAATCTGTGTAAGAATATAGTGGAAAACAACCTTATCCGGTTCAAGGGCTCGGGAAGGTTGCATCCCAACTTTAACAAACAACTCGATCTTTTCAAGCAGTGCGCCGACGCGCTGGTTGCCATGGTGTCCCAATCAGGAAACTCTCCGGAGGTTGCCTTTAGGAGCGGCTGTATGTATATCGCAAGCAGCAAAATGCTCAACGGTCTGCAAGATTTGATGTATACTCTGAAACAGCAGTCTTGTATTGTCAGAGAGTGTGATGGGGCTATGGGAGTGATGAATATCCCCGTAAATACGACCGAGTCCTCCGCAATGCCAAACGTGCAGTTCAGTTCGTTTGAAGCATGGAACATGTGGCCGTATCCAGATACGATGGACAGCGCCCCTCAGCCATTTGACAACTTTGATTGGGGTCAATTGTCTACCACCATTTGGCAGTCGGACCCAATGACGGATCTTCCTAACACTGCCATAAGTCTACCGGGTACGACTGCCGAGTTCGAAAGCAACGTGCCACCATTTCACAAATGAAGTACACCTAATGCGTCGGGGCAAAGGGAACTGTACGTACTAGCACAGCATGCAATGATAGCCTGGTGGAAGAAATTAGAGAGCAAGCCATTTTCTCTCCAACTATGATACTATGAGTTACGAAAGTTTAAAATGGTTGTATGACCAGACAGTAAACTGCATTCTATACACCCCCTGATGCATTATCTTTTGTTTAACAGTCATTAATGATACTACAAGTATATAACTTCTTGTCGAGTGATCGACTGACATCAGTACTCCACCGGTATGTTTATCGCATCAGTTGAATATGGATCTTGCCTACTCAAATTTCGCGCAAGTTGGACGGATTTCGAATGTCGCCCACTTTTGAACTTTCACCATCAGTGAATATATTCTTGTCTTTATGATCAATCGTGCTCACAGTAGATCCGGGCCAAATACTCTGCGCGAATTTTCGTCGCGCAACTATTCCCGTGTTCTCATGACCCTGAGGCTAACCGCGCAACTTCGCGCAAATTAAACATGCTGGCAGCCGCCGATCGGCTCCACCATGGTCTTGGCGTGCAGACTTGACTTGAGTGCAATAAGGCTGCACATCCCGACCAGCGGCTTATTTGCGCGTGGCGGAGTTGTTCCATGGCAGATCTGCAGTTTTTCTTTGGCCGGAAATTGAAACAATTAGTGACATGGTGCGCCTGAGATTAGCCTCCGTCCCTGTTGGTCTAAGGTTTTCACGAGGCTTTGAAGGGTCATAGTAAATATATAATGAGCTGTCTGTGTAGGTGTTAAACCTCTTCAATGAGCAGCTGAAGTATCAATTCCCGCAACATTGCCAATTATATTTCTTTCAATTTTGTATTCAATATGACTATCTTAAGACGAAGTGCCGGCAGCTATGGATGTCCTATACCAGACCATCTTGAACAACGTAAGTAGTCTTAACATCCTCGTTCTGCAGATGCGACGAACTAGCTGACCTCGAGACAGTCGACGTTGGTCCCTTCGTAGGGAATCTCACTTTCTATCAATTCAACATGATTGTATCCGGCGCTTGCACAGCGATTGTGTTATTTCTCATTTTGGGCCTTATGGGTCGACATGCGATGCATATGAGCAATCCTAACGAGCAACTTAAGTAAAGACACTCGAAATCGTGGGTAAATATCGAGGATGCTGACAAGATCGAAATAGAATAATGCGAATCTGCAACCTCATCCCGTCGTACCAAGTCCTATCTTACATCTCAATCTGCTTCCCGAACTCCTACATCTACCTACAAGGATTCACCGAGGTTCTACAGGGCGTAGCGTTATACGCCTTCCTCATGCTACTCTGCGATTACATGGCTCCCGATGATACGAGCAAAGTGAAATTCTTCTCTTCGCTCGAGACAAAGAGACAGTGGCAGCCGAAGAAGAAGAGGAATGGTCTTGCCTTTTTGAGTGTGAGTCGTTCGGCAGCAGAAATAACAGAGCCGTGAACAGTAACTGACCGCGTCTCTGCGTCTAGTTGACTTGGTACTCCGTGCTTCAATATCCTATAATCACTTGGATTACCGCTATTGTCCAAGTAGTGACCCAGTCAATGCATGTCTACTGCCTTGAAAGCAACGCTCCCCATTTCGCTCACATTTGGGTATGTACCATCTTTACATGTCTGACTGCATTGTACAATAGTCACTAATAAAATCAATAGCTCGAAGTGGTCACATCTGTGTCAACATCCATAGCCCTCAACGCTATAATCCAATTCTATGTGAACATGAAGGGATACATGACAGAGCACAAGCCACTGCTAAAGCTAATGGCATTTAAACTGATCGTTGGTCTAATCTTGCTCGAGAAGGTATTCATCTGGCACCCCGAAAATGTATCCAGAAATGAGCGGATATATCTAACACCAACCAGATTATGTTCCTCATCCTCACTAGCACAAAAGTCCTCACTTACCCCCCCTCAATGACCTACATCGACACACTGATGGGGCTTCCAACAATGCTCATTTGTGTCCAGATGGTGCCGCTATCCTTCCTAGTCCTTTATGCTTACCGCACAAAGCCTTACGAGATCTCAACCTCAGTGAGCAGTCTGCGACCCCAGGCATACCAGCCTCTTGAGTCAGACCAGGACGAGGAGGCCTTCCTGAACGACCCGCCCAAACGCTATCAAGGTGGAGCTTGGGGAGTACGTGCCTGGGCTATCTACCTAAACCCGCTTGTGCTGTTCAATGATGTCCATTCGGCTTACCTCATGATACACAGTGCGCGGTCTCTGCAGAAGGTTCAACGGAGGGAGGAACCAGAGCAGGAGATGGCCAGGTTTGAGACGAGATATGACACTGGCGAGGGGAGGTGAGGAGCTCGCAGGACCAGTTTGATTCAGGACTCGACGCAGGAGGCATGGGCTGTAGCGGACGGGGTGGAAAGCCCCATAGGGACATGCCATTGCGATAGGCAGGTGCGTTGCAATTCATCATGTGAAACATTACAAACGCCAGTTATAATATGAAAAATGCTGTCCTCAAATGTTCAGTGGGTATTTATGTCCCTTTCAGTTAGGTTTTCGCCTTTGCGCACTGGCGTCTCCTTGGCTACCGGTTACTGGTAAGAGTCCATGCGTTGCGATGGGGGTCAAAGTCAGCGTGATCATAGTGGTCAGTCAATCCAAAAGTACCATTTAGCCGGTCGGGATAGGCATTGGATTGATTGGAACCATGATTTAAGATATATAGTAATCCATTGTCACAACACTAATTCTCAAGCGACCCTATATATGGTCCGGGGACAATTGTGAATGATAACGTAAAATTGCGCTATATATTACCGCCGTTTCTAGCAGAACTCTGACTGCGACAGGAAAAAGAATGCTATATGGGAATACGGAGTACAATCCTCCAAAAGTTTATAATATCGAACGTGTCCAAAAAACATAGTACGTAGAGAGTCGTTTAAGCTTTGATATGGACTAAATCTTTCCATTGAAGGAAACATGAAACTGCACAATCTTAAGGGCATAGTTAAAACGAACGATAACTAAGAAAAAGACTTTCGTATACTCTGCGCGCCGAGGACAGAAATTGTCCGCATAGTCGCATAGCCAATTTCCATCACAGGTAAAGATGTAACTATAAAATAGCAACAAAGCCAATACTAAAAGACAATCCAGCGTCTGATATGATCGCCGAGTAACTCAATTGATTGTCAATCCCATGCTGCCCCTCGCGCAGGAGCACCCTTGCTATTCTGTTGCGATGTCGAGGAATGAACGGGGTGGTTGTCAAATTAGAAGCCAACCAGGTGATGGGAAAATCACCTTACTAGCCGGCTACTTTCTGCTAACAGCGCTTGTTGTTAGGGAGCCAGACACCAGCCTCGCAAAGGTTGACATTATTTACAGTGGCATCCTCGGTGGTCTGGTCATCACGCTTGGCATTCTGCCACCAACCGTTAGGCAGTGGGCTGTTCTCGAACTCCACCGTGGCATCTTTGGCAGCCTCGTCGCGCTTGCCATGCCACCATTGGTTTGCAGGGGCTTCCATATTGACGTTTTCCACAGTGGCATCCTGGGTGGTTTCGTCGTTGCGCTTGCTAGGAACCCAAGCAACTCTGTAAGGGTCAAGTTCATTGTCATCCTCCACCGTGGCGACATGGGCAGACTGGTCGTCACGCTTGTACGATATCCAGCCATCATGAGCACCTCCAAACGTATCGTCCTGTTCCACCGTGGCGACATGAGCAGACTGGTCGTCGCGCTTGTAAGCTATCCAGCCTTCAATAGGGCCTGCGTCATCATTGACATTCTCCACAGTGGCATCATGGGCAGCCTGGTTGTCACGCTTGTCAGGCCCCCAACCACCATAACAACCTATAGCCACATTGTCGTCTTCAACAGTGGCGTCGTGGGCAACCTGACCGTCACGCTTGCACTATAAAAATTCAAGTCAGCCCATATACCCATCCAGGTCCTGATAATTACTTCTTGGGCAGGAGGGCGTCTTGGGACTGCCGGAAGCGTCGAGATTGGAGAGTGTATTCTTACGGGGGCTGGCAAAGCCAGGGTCGCGGAGACCAGCATGAGCGTTGTAAGAAAATACTTCATTCTGAATGATCGGTGAACGCAGACGGATTCTGGTGAAGTGAAGGCAAAAAGACAAAGACACTAAATATGCTCCACAGAGAAGAACTAGACTTGGGATTGCCTGTATCAATGGGATTGATTGTGGTCTCTTCGGCTGGATGGCTAGGTGATTCGAGCGAGACTTTATACTTGAGAATGGCACCCAGTTCAAAGTTATTGACTCATAGTTTGGTTATCCCTCGAGGTTTCCCATTCAGCATTCTGCGTGTATACCTTTTGTGGAGCCGTCACTCATATCTGGGAGATCAGCACCCGCGAGTCAGTGGGTATGGATGGATAGCAAGGATGTCAAGCAGGGGGATATCAACTGCATGTACGCAGGATGCAACTGTTGATGGACGAGAAGAAAACATTTTATACATGCGGGTGTATCTCAGGTGACGCCTTATTCCGTACGAGAGACAATAAAAGGCAATGCGATTCATGTGATTCATCAAAATGATGATTGTTGCGTACTAAAGTCAATGGGACATGCACACAAGCAGCTTTGAGACAAATTGACCAGAAGAACGCTAATCTGTAGAGTAACAAAGCAGTCAGTTGCTTATTATTTCTATATTCTTTATCATAGAAGTACTGCTCGTGGATCTCTAGGAGTGTAGCTTGTGGGCTGAGATCTACAAAGTAATTTGCCTACTTTGTCCTTGCATGAAGCCAAGCCTCTCCGCACCCCTGGATTCGGAGTATGCCGCCTTGCCTTACCCCCCAGTCATTTGTTTTTCTAGTATGTGAATGCCTTGCGCATTGATCCTCCTTCGTTCGCCATCTGCTGTGGGCACTCCTGCAATTTGTAATGCAAGTAATGGCGGTCTGTGTTCGGTTCTACCTGACGAGTACATCTCAGCTGTGCCAAATGTTGTGAGGGGTCAATGACACTACACGAGGCGCAGCTGAGTTGCAACAGCATATCACACATTACAATGGAGCCTTGCATGGTATAATGCATGCCAATTGGTAATCATCCGCGGCGCCACCATAACCTTTTCTCCTTGGAGCAGAATCATAAGACGTTTCGGTTCATCAACAGTTAAGCCGCAGACCCCGATTTCTTAAAATCGCCCCAAGGAAGCTTATCTCCATACTACATCAACTCCCTACCACACCGCACTATTTTGGATTTCCGTCATATCGAATGTTCAGTAGACATTAGCAATGAGTGACGCCAAGTACCGAGAAATACCTGAAGATGATGAGTCCGGGGCCTTGTTAGCCCAGACTGAGACGGAAAGTCATCGTCACCCAGGTCGACCCCGTTTGTCAAGGCACCTGCTCTATGTTTATCTGGGTATTAGCATTTTCATCAACCTCCTCGGGCTATTGTATGCCATCCGACACTCCAAAGATATCATTATTCCGAATCCCCTTTTTTGTTAGTTGTTATCCTTCTCAAAAGCTTTATCTCCCAATTGCACGGTTATCATTTTACTAATTCGGCCATCTTTACCAAACAGCACCAGCAAACAAGCTCATTAAGTACAAAAACGTGAAATTCGAAAGCGGCTTCGCAAAGAAGACCCAATATATGGGTCCTCCCAGTGAGGCTTATGATGAAGCCTGGGAGGACCTGTACAACTGTAAGCTCTCTATGTACCCATGGCGCGTTAATCTATCATCTTACTGATCCATGTTCTGTCATATCGCCGTTGAATGGGTATAGACGGTATTATCAAGATTCCCCAATCTGAAGCAGCCCAGCTAGTCAACTACACCATGCCACTGGCCTCCGAGCCAGGAATGTACATGGTCGAGATAGACGTTTTTCATCAGCTTCACTGTCTGGTAGATACGACCCTCCCCCCACCCCGCCCCGGGTCCCTGCAACACGTCGAGTAGCCAGTGAAACTAATGTTCCATTTTCACAGCATCATCTCCACAAGAAGGCCTGGGGTCACGACATGGGCGTTAATATGAGCGATCCTCAGGAGGTAGAGGACTTTTGGACACATCTGGATCATTGTTCCGATTCAATACGCCAGAATCTGATGTGCTCCTCTGATTTATCAACTATCCATTGGCTGTGGGCGGAAAAAGACCAGACATGGGAAGCAGACGGCCGTGTGATGCACACCTGTCGCGACTTCGAGGCGATCCGGGACTGGGCGTTTGAGAACAGGGCAGGGATGATAGACCGTACGGTGTGGGTGCCAGATCCCTTGCGTGGGGAGATCTAGGCAACGGCTTTGTGTTTAGGTGATTAGGTTAGGGAGTGTTTTCTGCCAACTGATGTTAGACTTCTTTATCATCTTCTAACCTCCCAAACGTGGGTTTGATCAATTTTGCACTATTAGTATGCAAGCCGCTACTTTCTGAAGTGTTGCGTCTCGTCTGTCCGAAAGGAAGGGTTCGCAACTGGAAAGAGCTACTTCGAATTATTGAGCTGCGTTATGAACAGAATCAGTACAATTCTGCACTATATCCTACACGTGGAGTAGGATACCGCTGAAGTAATATTCTCCGCTTGTCCCATGGATATAGCAAACTTTCTGCCTGTACAGATAGTGCGGAGGGCATGTTCTTCTACACACCGGGATGGGCTGGACCACTCCAACGTGCTCGCTCACGATGTAGATCTTATCAACGACACTACTGGCGCGCACCATGATCTCTGGTGGGCGCTGAGAGATGGCGCAAACAACCTCAGCATGTCTATCTCGATGTGGGCAGGATTAGACATCTTGACGGCGCAAGCCATTACCTGTTATACGTACGTCTAAGCTTTCAGCTTACCCCTATGCCTGCAGCCTCGCCGCACCGAACTACCAGGGCAATCCCGGAACTAGTTTCCTACTAGCAGGAATCGGACTTTGGACGTCTCTGACTACAACCCTTGTGTCCGGACAGCCACCTCTAACGTCTAGAAGAGTGACAGCCACGCTCTCGTCGAGCAGCGGATCTTGTCCAGTACGACAGCAAGATAGCAATACCTAGGAACTAACCTAGCCACAATTAAGTTTTCCGACAAGGCGATTGGTTCCGGTGTCATAAGATAGGGGTGTTTGTCATCTTGATCATACACCCCTTGCTTCCCTCGTCTACCACCAAAGGGACCATGGTAAGCATCCGTAACAGTACACATGCACCTATCAAAATGGTTAGCATAACCTTCACCGGGCTGTGGGCGCAGTGTGCTAAAGATGTTGGCTCCAAGACGCGAGATCATCGAGAACATAAAGGCGCTTGCGAAAGCCAAGGCCAACAGTCATACCTATCGCTACTATTGTGGTAACTGTTATTGAGACTCGACCTCCCTCCCGTGGGCCTCTACCGCTAGCCTAAGCAAGTTAGCGACCCCGATTAGGAATAGCCCCACTTAAGCGAGGGTCCACTACCTCAATAGGAAAACAACATCTCAAATGAGATGCCATTTTTGAGCGATTCGGGTGCTTGCTCGTTCGCTCGCCAGCGACCCCTACCTGCTGACCTTCTACCTGTCCCTGTCTAGCAGGATCCTACGTAGGGGCCACCTTGCAAATAATTTAAAGTGTGTTTATTTTAGGCCACGTGCTTTAAATTACCTTATATCGCTTAGCGCGGAGGATCATGACGCCGCTAACCCCTTTAGGTTAGATGTAAAGTTCAACGGAAGTAACAGCCGCCTTTTGAATTTGGCTAGATATAGTAGAGAAAACCTGCGCGAGTTCATTCATTTTAAAGAAGCATTTAGCGAATACAAGTGTTAGTGAGCACAGGTCGATGATGACTAATGACTGACGTAACCTTTACTCTTCACCTTGACCCAACTTGTACTGCACCCTCAAGAGTTTAACGATATGATCAGCCAATGACCCCAAATTGCCAGCCTTTGTAATTTCAGACAACGGGACATCAAGATGAATAGTTCGCCGCACCCAGCTCCTCATCTCAATTGCCACCAGCGAGTCGATTGCAAAACCGGCAGCCTCTTCATCAGTCAGTTCTCGCCCATTTGAGATCGTGCCCGCAATAAGGTGAGCCATGTTCCGTTTGAACTCGGTAATCGCATCAGACTTGTTCAGCAACGAAGGATCTTGGTGGACATTGTTAAGGAATTCGCGCAGCCGATGTTCAGGTCCGTTCGTTCCCTCATCCATCGACGCCTGCCCTAAGTTGCTGTGCATAGCAAACCGGGCATCGCGCCCCCATAACCGAATGAGCGAAGCGCTCTCGCTCTTACCCGTTTTGTCGGAAATGCCAACGTCCAGTATCCCCGAGCACTGCTGGTTTGGGCGGGAGTCTTCGATGCTGACTTGGAACGAGTCAAGGACGGCCCGTTCTGTTATGGGCTGAGCCGAGGCCACGCTGGTCATTTGGGCAAAGTCCGCCCGCTCACTGATGATGCCTACATCTTCAACCGGGCCCAGATTCAGGACCGACGCCGCCAAACCACGCTGTCTCCGGTATGTGGCAAGCCCGGTCAGAAAGGTGTTCGAGGCAGCATAGTTGGCCTGACCCAGAGACCCTGCGGAACCCGCGATCGAACCGAACATGACAAAGAATGATAGGTCCATGCCCTGGGTTGCAGTGTGTAGATTCCATGTGCCGGTGACTTTCGGAGCTAGCCCGCTATCCCATTCCTCCGGTGTCATGTGCTCGAAGGTTCGGTCCTATCAAATGGATATCAGTTCGTTGTCTTGATGAAGGTGATAAGAAGCGGTGGTCACACCTGCAGATTCAATGCCATCTGGACGACGCCAGTGAGACGGTTCGTACACTTTCCGATTGCTCGTTGAACATCAGCGGGTTCAGTTACAGTCCCTGCCACGCAGCTAACGCGACAGCCTTGAACCTCTAGCTCCTTTATGAACTTCCGATGTTCATCCTTCTCAGCTGATGGGGAGAGATACACTATCTCGCGAGCCCCATGTTCAACTAGCCACCGAGAAACTGACTTCCCGATGCCACCGAGGCCTCCAACGATGAGGTACGCTGCGTCGAATGGAAAAGAAGCCTTGGAACTTACGGGCGCGCATGGTAGTTGGGCTGGATCTGGTGTCATCTGGATTACGACCTTTCCCATATGCTTACCTGTCTGTAGGTATCGGAAAGCCTCCTTCACTTGGGCAGTATCAAAAACATGCACGGGCCGAATTGGTTGGATCTGGCCTTTCTGGAAAAGCTCGAAGCATGTCCTCACCGTGCTAAAAGATATCAGTTTCTCCAGATTCAAACTGATGGGAATGATGCGTCCATATGTACCTTATCGCTATATCAGGACGGTCCCGACTGACGTTCGCAAGATTCACCGCATGGAATGAGCGGTCTTCGGCAAACGGGCTCAGACTGAGCATTCCATGGGACAGGATGTCTCGTCGTCCGATTTCAATCATTTTTCCATAGGCTGCCACACATTCCCAGGATGCATGTAGTAACTCACCACTCAGTGAGTTGAGGACGATGTCGACTCCACGTCCACTAGTGGCTCGCATAATATCCGGCAGGAATGATGTATTGCGGGAGTGGAAGATCTGCGCTCTGGGAATCCCATGGGTGTTGACAAGGTACTCTGCCTTCTCCTCGTTTCCAACTGTGGCGTAAATCTGCATGAAACATTAACCATACGCACGAAGTGCTGCCATGAAAAGCACGATGGGTGACTTACCGTAGCACCGAGCATCTGGCAAATATTTATGGCTGCGATACCAACCCCACCGGCAGCAGAGTGAATGAGGACCGACTGGATGGTCAGTTAGCCGACATCTTCCCTATACTCTATAGAATGGCAAGTGAACTGACCTGTCCCTTTTGAAGGTTCCCAACCTGTATTAGCGAGTAAATAACCGTGCAATAGACTGTCAGCATGGCGGCACCATCTGCCAAAGCAAGGCTATCTGGTAACTTCGACAGAGCCCTTCGACGTAGAACCGTACGGTTGCAGAATAGGCCGGTCCCCAATGCCCCGACGCGGTCCCCAGGGGCCAGGTCGGTTACATCTGGAGCAACTCGACGCACCACTCCGGTTGCCTCTAGACCCATATCGTTCGGGTTCCCTATAAGTCCCATGGCAACCAAAGTGTCCTATTCCATGGTCAGGAACACGAACAAGAAGGATGTAATGACAAGCAACTTACCTTGAAGTTCAGCCCGACGTAGCTGACATCCACCTCAACTTCGCCGAGACTCAGATCCGTTGCAGTTGTACTGGGTACCCACTGAAGAGTACTGGTCAATCCAACCTGCTTGATTCCCAATTTCCGTGTTGTATTCAGTGGGGACTGCTTCGTGAGCTGTTGCGAGAGCGACGTCCGGTAAGACCGAGCGGTATGAACAACGCCACCCTCCAACGCGAACTCGTACTCCAGATCTCCATCTGGTATTTCACGGGCCTGCTGGATCTTCTCATGCAGTTCGACTAGGGTGATAGGTGCAGGATTCCCAGCGGAATCCATTTCCAAGACAGATAAATCCAAAGATAGTTCGCGTCTCAATACCCGAGCAAGACCATGAATAATACTGAAGCGCGGATCCGTGCAGCTAAGTGTACTTGGCTGCGTTACCCATAATATTCTGCATCCCTTACTCTGCATCAGGAAGCGTTGTAGAACAAGAAATTGTTCCTGAGAAGACTGAGTGAAATATGGACTGTCAACCTCCAGTAGTGAAACGATGGTGCGACTGTTACAGGGCGAGCCATCCAAGGTTGACCAGTGGACTTCATAGCCACTTCTGCGGAAACACGCTGCCACATCTCCAGGCCATCCTGCCTCCTCCGGGTTAGAAGCCAGGATAGTTATATCTCTGTCAGGTATCGGCTCCTGAGCAAGCCTAGAGATAATGGTGAATAACGGCTGAACCGAACCCTCAAGATCGCGCTCGATTGTCTCGCCTCCAGTAAATCCAGCTGCGTGAAGCTTCTTGTCCCATTCCTCTCCCGAGATGTAAGGTTTGTCAGGGCGTCCATCGTCTTCACCCAACCACCAGCCAGGAAGCGCACCCTGTAAAAACGAGTCGAAGTATTAGCGCAGTGCGGCGCACATGCGGTTCATAGAAGGAAGACTTACCACCACGTAGTCCGTGACAGGAGTATCTAGAATTTTTATTCAGAACTATATTGACTATGAGAGCAAAGATTCTTACCCGAATAAAACTCTTGTAGCAAGAAACGCCCATTCTTGGCAAGCAGCTTGTTGGTATGTAGCAAAGCCTCATGCAGATTTGGAGCGACGTGCATAACCTAACGAAAGGTTAACCTGGGCCCGATAGTGTACATAGTTCACTTACGTTGGAAGCGATGATCAGGTCGAAGCTGTGCGCCTCAAACCCCTGTTCCGTTGGATCACGTGTGATATCCAATGTTCGGTATTCCATATTGGCCTGCCCCTTGAACTTCTCTTGGGCAGTGGCGAAGAATCCAGCGGAAATATCTGTGAAGACATAGCGAGAGAAAAGCTGTGCGCCAGTCGGAGACCTCAGCGAAGAGAGCGCCATTTCGCTCATAGAGCCTGTTCCGGCGCCAATCTCCAGGACTCTCATCAATGGATTCGCATGTCCAAGAAGGGAAAAGACTTTCGTCAGATCAGTCTCTCGGGACAGTGTGTCTTCGTAGAACCTTTCCAACCTATTGCTGGAAACGAGTACCTCTAGCGGGGAACATTTCCCAGACATGAAATCGACGGCATTCTCGTAGACTGCCCTCATACATTCAATGATGGTTAGACCGGGGACGTCGGCCGGTATGCTCTCAAGGCGGCTGTATATTCTCTCTAAGAAATCAGCTGGAGGCATATAGTTCCACTGACTTGAGCCTTCATGGGTAGTAGATAGCCCATCACTGAGTATGGCCGACGAAGGCACCGGAATCTCTTTCATTGCATGGAGAAGGACATCCTCCGTCTCCGGTTGCACTTCCTCGAGCCACCTTGAGAGTGGCTGCAGATTTGGATGCACGCCGACGCTAATCTTAGCGGCCTCCGATAGGATCCAAGATTTCCATTTCATCAAATGTTGGGTAGACGAATCGATATGCCCAATTCGCTCAGCTGTGGCTCGAATGTGTATTAAAGAAAGGAGCCCAAGAATCCTACGGTGGGTGGCATGTCCAAGATTGGGGCGCGGAGGCAGGATCTTCTCAGGTGGCAGTAAGTCGATATCTGGCTTCCAATGTATCCTAGAAATTAAGTCGGTCTCATCCGTCCCTGTCCTGCTAGACCCTGCTAGGCCAGCCAGGACTCCACCCTCGAGCCTAAAGATTGTCTGGCCTTCAGTGGTACCGATGATCTTTGCCTGCTGCCCTTTTTCTTTGTCTTCAAATGTCCGAGCTTCGAAGGAAACCCGCGACCATGGCCCGTTATCAATAACGAGGCGCTCAATCTTGGCGGGGATAAAGGCCCCTGAAATGGTATGTAACCTTCCTCTCGATGCGGCTATACCGATCAGCTGAAGGGCTTGGTCGATAACAGCAGGATGGAGAGCGTAGTGGGTGCCTTTCTGCATATCAGGCTGGTGTACAGTGGCAGCTGCGGCATTGTCAATTGGGTCTGCGGTGATGTCTTGCAGACGCTGGAACTGGGGGCCGTATTGTAATCCGCATCGCTGGACCGTGCGGTACCACCGTAATGGTTCCACTCCTCGGGGTAAAGGGCTGACTTCTTTACGCTCAACAGAAATAGAGTAGTCACTTCCTGCACGTACACAACCCTTGCAGTGCACTGTCCATTTAGCCCCGTCGAATGCACATACAGAAAAGTTGTACCACCCGGACAGGACGCCGTCTGCCAGCTCAATTGGCTTGAGGCTTGAAATAACCTCAACTGCAGCATCAATGGTTAGCATTAGAGGAGACTCAAACCGAATGTTCTGTATTGTGTAGCGTTCGAGACTAGATTCTGATTGGTTATTGAGGACATTCAACTGCCTAATGGCCTCGCCGGCCATGGTGATATACCCGGCAGCTGGGAAGACGACTTCGCCGTGCAGGACATGGTCCGACAGCCATGGCACATCGTCTAGCCGCAAGACGTTTCTCCATGATGGCTCCTGAATTGTCGCTTCCATTATCATTGAGCCTAGAAGCTCATGGTGAGGGAGTGAGCGTAGCCGCCAGTCGCGACTTGGTCTACCCTCGCTCCAGTACATGTCAGTATGCGTCCATGGAAAGCGCGGGATGTCGCCAAGAAGTCTACCACCTTGCACAATTGTGGGAAAGCCGACAAACGACCCTGTGTTGAACACATATCCAGCAGTTGCGAGCAGTAGGGATTTTTGGTGGTCATCGTTGCGCGTAAGGGTGGGTATGTACACGGGAGGTGACCGAGGAGCAACTTGAAATATCTGCCGAAGAGGCGCAGATAAAGCGGAATGTGGTCCGACTTCTATGAATATCTGGCTACCCTCCGTCTGCCTTTTGAGAAGCATCTCTACTGCCTTTGAAAAGCGGACAGGAGATTCAAGGTTCCGACGCCAGTAGCTTGGTCCGAGTTGAGAAGGGTCAGTAATGATATCGCCGGTGACACTAGAAACCATCGGCCGCATATGTGGTCCCGGATTCATATGAGGTACGAGAGCATTCTCATATGACGTTCCGATAGTCTCCATCTGCGCTGCAGGATTATGTCAACATATATTTCAGTGGCTTAGCACCGGGATTGAGGCATGTTGCCGAGCGTCAAGACTTACGAGAATGGTAGGCAACCTGCACACGCAGCTTCCGACAGAAAATTCCCGGAAGAGCCGTGGTAATATTGCTGATTACCTGGGGTATCTGTTCCTTGGGTCCTGAAATCGTCACGTTACGAGGGCTGTTCTCACAAGCGACGACCACCCCGTCGACGAGGAACGGTAGAACTTCCTCATGGCTCAATCCAATAGATGCCATTGCACCGGAGCCCTCCTGTAATTTGGCCAGCCTTCCACGGTAGAATGCGATAACAATAGCTGATTCAATTGTTATCGCACCTGATGCGCAGGCTGCAGCGATCTCACCACTAGAATGTCCAACTACAGTGCTTGGTTGAATACCCCAGTATGCTAGGATCTGGAGCAATCCGAGCTGGAGGGCAGTGCAAAGTGGCTGGGCTAGTTCAACTTCATTGACACGCGACTCAGTGCCCACTCGTGAAAGCTCCTCTATATTCAAGTTAGTGTCTCTCGCTGCATGCAACCTGCAGGCTACTGACCAAGTAAGAACCATTCTGGGGGCTCTGTCAAGTTCTGAAGCACCTCATCCATCTTCTTGATCGCATTACAGAATAAAGGCTCAGTTTCCAGAAGCTGTCTCCCCATTCCCGCCCATTGCGCCCCTTGTCCTGTGAACACGAACGTTAATGCAGGAGAGGGGAGCGTCTTGGGTGACGACTGAAATTGAGACTGATCCACTGGCGTGTCCGGGTAGACTACCGCGAATGCCCGATGACTGTGATGCTCCCGTCGTGATGCTAATGTATATGCCAAATCGTGAAGGCTCGTGGGGTTAGTGTTTATGTAGCCTGCTATGTCTTTTATGCGACGTTGTAAGGACTGTTTGTTGTGCGCAGAAACCACGACGAGGTGCGGACGGTCTGATTCCGGGTGGGCCATCTTTTGTACTCCAAATGCAGCCGCAGAATCCAGAATAGCATGCGCGTTGGCCCCGGCTATACCAAATGAATTGATACTCACTCGTTCCTGGCGGTCATTCGGCCATGGTTGGGCTTTCACAGGAACCTCAATCCGGGAGTCTTCCTTGTGGACAGTGGGATTGGGCTTATGAAAATTGATGTTTGGTGGGATGGTGCGGTGTTGCAGGGCAAGGGTTGCTTTAATGATGCTAGTGAGACCTGAAGCCCCCTCGGAATGACCGCAGTTTGGCTTGACCTGTTTTATCATCAGGCTAGGTTATAGAAATATTTGAAGTCACTTACACTACCCATAAGTACACCATGGCCCTCGAAGATCTTGGCGACAACTGATGTCTCAACCGAATCTCCAGCTGAGGTACCTGTCCCATGGCATTCAAAAAAGGCCGTGTCGCAGATGTTATGTATCTGAGCCTGTTTGTATGCATTTCGTATCAGCGTCTCTTGCGCTATTCCGCTGGGGTTAGTCATGACTGCCGTCCTCCCGTCAAAATTCACGGCTGTGGACCGTATTACCGCACGGACAGAGTCGCCATCTTTCAGGGCGTCGCTGAGGCGCTTGATATAGACTGCATTGATAGCCTCTCCACGGCCATACCCGTCCGCATTGGCATCAAATGTTTGGCATTGACCCGAAGGCGATAGAACACCATTTTGGTTCATGACGCTTGTCATCGTCGGGGTTAATATGAGGTTGGTTCCAGCAACGACGGCAGAGGAGCATTGCCCGGTGCGAAGCCCCTGACAAGCCTCGTGCAAACCAACAAGCGAAGCCGAGCATCCGGTTTGTATAGTCATGCTATGGCCCAGTCAGCATTTTCCAAGACAGCCAATTTCCGCTGATGTTAATTATACCTCGGCCCACGGAAGTCAAATTCATATGAGACTCGGTTTGACAAGGCAAAGCCTCCGGTAGCGAGGGCATGATGGCGATCTGGACAAGGGTCTAGTCCCTTGAGGGACAACTCCAGCCAATCCTCCCCAAACACTCCGACATAGCAGCCTATATCCTTTCCGCGCCAACTGGTTTCGCCGGAGTCTTCGAGGCACTCCCACACTACTTCGAGGAGCAACCGTTGCTGGGGATCCATGAGCCTGGCCTCTTTGGCACCAACGGAGAAAAATCCGGCATCAAAGTACGCAGGGTCCTCTTCCAAGAAATATCCGGTCATCGGGGAGGTAGATGGATGAAAGAAGGAATTCGCGTTATACCGACTTTTAGGGACTGGGCCATGGCCACTTTTGCCCGAGACGAGCATGTCCCAGAATTCATCTGCGGTGTGAACATTCCCGGGTAATCTCATGCCCATGCCCACAATGGCAATGGGTTCATCTGCTGCGCTTTCGCTTTCGCGACAGAAGCTTCTTTCGTTCATAGGAGTGGTCATTCTTGCTAGTAATCCAGTACAAAACGTTCTCTCATTGTGATAACGGCCTTATTTAACAGTCGTCCGTCGCTATGTGTAGCTCAAGAGGTAGACTATCGGTGATGGAGAAGTGGAGTATGCTTGATTACATCTTCATTTCCATAAGGAGTAATTTGCATTGGTCGTCTGATTGCAAAAGACTATGTATGTCTCTAATGCTGTGTAATGCCGATGAGTAGTACAGCACAACATGTACCCAGACCGGCACGTTTCACAACGTCTGCGGAAGCAGCCCTTGCGAGGCGATGGACAATAAGGTTTACATTCTTGCTCCTGGACAGGTGCCTTGAACTTTCCCATCCCCTTTTTGCTTCTTCCTGCATATCCACATCAAAATCCAAGAGAACTCGCGGGCAATTGTTGTCTAGCAGAGTTTTTGACCGCCTCTTCCAGGTCATCCAGGGACTGTCAATGACAAAAGCAATATGCCTTTCGTATGTGATATGTAGTCAGTAAGGAGGCTCAGAGCTATCTATTAACCTGGTCTACCATGTTTACACCAACAACCTTTCAGAACAAGCCATTGTTGCTGCATCATTGTGCTACCACATCACTGTTGCATTAAGCCTTCAGGTTTGGAAGTCTCATCATTCCAGGCCACAACGCACAGTGTCTATGCAGGCACATGAGGGGCCTTCAATCCCAAAATGTATACTTCGAGGGAAATATGCTATGCTCTCAGGTTTGACATCAGATCTGTGTACCTCTGCTCGAATTCGCAGAACATTTCCAGAATTTCCGGTGTAAATCCATTCACACAGTGCCTGAGAAGTGCCGCCCGCAACCCTTCCTTCGCCTCATAGATCTTGCGCAGAACCGCCTGGACAATTGAAGATCCGCTAGGGATCTTCTTCACATATGGGACCTACAATTGTCAGTGTATATCATTAGATTAGAAGCCTTCCAGGCAGTATACCTTGCTTGCAGTGGCCACAATAGCCTGAGTCAGGACGTTGATCATCTCGTAAGTAGCAGTCAAAACTTGATCTTCCTCGTCCCGGCCCTCTGTAACCTCCGTGGATGCGATTCTTTTCTGTGCGATCATGGCGCTATCATAGACCTTGTAGGTGCCCCGAGTCAAATAAAGCAGATTGCTCATACCACCCTGATATTGTTGGATTTGGGAGGTCATATCTTTCATGGTTTCCATGAGCAAGTTCAGCTCCATGACCATGTCCGCTGTTGAAGAATAAGGCTTTCCCGAAGAACGTGGAGCAAATGCTCCTACAAAGGACTTAGAACCCGTCATAGCGATGAGGGATTGGGAGAATCTCGTACTACTTTCGCTTTGGGAAGACCTGATGGTAGATTAAGGTGAAAGAAAACGGGCTACTGGATATATCATATGGAAACGAGAAACATGAGTCCTCTGGATCTGTATTTTTGATCCTAAGAAGCATCAAGGAATATATTCTCCCTTGCATCCCCTGAAGGTGGAGTCAATGATTAGGCAACAATTATTTCAAGGTTGAGATGCCGTTCACAATATATTCTGAAGGGTTACACCGGACGTCCTGCAACACAAACCCAGGGGCGCATGCTTTCGTCAGCCCTTGTCGCTTTGTCTTGTTTCTACAACTGCTATCGCACGATGTGACACAAATGAATCTGGCATTCTTGAATACTAATCACTTCGATGATCAACTAATCCATGAAAGGGGGCTCTTTGCAGATAAGGTTTGTCACCCCAAATGACGGAGGTTGATGATGTCATTTGTGTAACAGACCACCAGCTACTCCCTTGCAATCAACCCTTCGATCTCTTGATGCGCAATTGGACTCCGTTCTCGTGACACATGGTCAGGGTCTGCCGCAATGGAGGGTTGAGCCCCATGTCTGGCCCTGGCTGGGCGCCCTCAACAGAGTCTAGGTGTTGAACTAGCCTGAATACCTGCTGGCTAATCAAAATTACGGCAAATTGCTCTGTTCGAAGCACTCTGGTTAGCAACGAGCTTCATCGGTATCCTCGCCAAGATGCTGATCTGCGTAGAGAGGGAACTCACGGCCAAGACACGCTCTGGGTCCACCATTGAAGGGAACGAAGTCCCACGCCGGTGGGTTGTATTCTTCCCATCTCTCCGGTCGGAATCTCTCGGCATCTGCGCCCCAGATATCAGGACGCCGGTGAAGGCACCAGACGGAATAGGCGACCATCTGCCCCTTGGGAATAAACACTGGGGATCGACCATCCGGTCCACCTCCCACGGGAATCGTCGTATCATGATGGGCAACTCGCGCATTCAGAGGAACGGGGGGGAAGAGACGAAGTGCTATTTCAAACGCTCAGCATATGTCGATGAAGTAGAGGTGACCTTGAATAGTTCGGAGAGAGATTAGAATAAATAATAAGTGGCTCACCTTCGTACAAAACACCGCGCAAATAAGGGAGACTCTGTATCTCCTTCAGGGTGATATTGCTCGCGTGCTGATCAACCGCATGGGTGACTTCACTTTTTAACTTACGCCATGCCCCAGAGTCTCGTGCGAGAAGATAGAAGATGGAGGTGAGCACGCTGGCAACGTCGTCTCGACTGGCTAGAAGGACATTCACCAATTGATCCCTCAGGAAATCCCGATCTTGTGTCTCGGCCGCTAGTGCGTGCAGAAAACAATATTCATCTCCTTTCTGTTCATGGCTACTCCCCAGGCTATTAATCTTGCTTCTGTATTCAATTGCCTTATCAACGTAGTACTCCACGAAATTGTGAACAACACGGGTGGAGTTTCTGAACTCGCTCGGGTTAATCAGCCAGTAGTAAGAAAGCGCGAGAGTTCGCCTGAAGAGGATATCTTGGGCGTAATCGAAGGCCGCAGCAAATCCTTCGTTTCCACGACCTGCAGTTTCCGCAATACCTGTCTGATTGGAGTCTGGCTTAACGAGGGAACTAATAGACTCCCCAAACAGATAGCCTGTGGCAGAATCTAGCGCCAGTCGGAAGGCAAGCGGCTGGATATCAAAGACTTGCCCATCGGGTGGCAGTGCTCGCATTAAGTTCTTAGAATGGGAGTCAAACCATTCAATTGAGGGTATCTAGTGACGCCAGTCGCGTTAGATAGGCCACATGAGATCAGTCTGTGAGTGCTCGACCTACTTGATTCTTTGTGAACTGGGGGCGTAGCAACCTCCTCGAGTGTTCCCAGGCTGACCCGTCAGATGTGAATATCCCTCTCCCAAGCAATGGCCGGTACTGTGGATAACGCCATTTAGATAGTCCGAAGCTGGAGAACTGTGAGGCTAAAACTGCTTGGATATTCTCTGGTTCGCAAGTAGCGACAACATCGTGACCCACAAAATTCAATTTCAGGGTGTTTCCATATTGCAAATGAACCTCATGCATAGTAGATCCGACTTGGCCTTCTTGAGCGGCAGTTTTCGCGCGCCAGACCGCTTTATGACCGAACAGCCCACTTGGATAGGAATATACGGGCTCGCAATTCCATTCCTTCGATAGCTTTCGAGACCTATAGCTTCTGCTAATAATCCGATAGAGCTGCAGTGCCACTAAGGCTGAGATGAATGTGGCCAATGACAGGGGGATTGCAGACCATAACATTTTCGATAAGTAGAAGTTATTCACAGAGAGTGTAAGGCGGAATATTGTATCTATTCTGGCAAAATGGCGATCAGCTACCCGTGGGGCCTTTTCCAGCCGGCTATATAAAAATTGGAAAGTCCTACAATAACTCCTCTGTCCTACCTTCAGAAAAGAAGATTGCGATAGATGATGTGATATCAACACATTCAACCTTTCCCAGTTTCCCCTTTTACGCATGTACATATTGGTTACATTCCAGCACCTGTAACCTTCCTATCCTTGCATCGATGGCGTCGGGTGCGGAACTTGGTTCAGATATCATATTCGTCGGGGTGGGTTACATAAGGAAGATCCACGAGTCATTGTTAACATTGGTCTGTCTATAGCTTGAATACATTAGTAAGAACTACTTACTCTCGGATCTATTTATCTTCGATTCTCGGGTGAATATGTAATACAATGCTTCACACCACCTCTAGCTATAGATAGACAGTATACATGTTCAGGATAGTGGCAGTGAGCCATCAAGTCCATATGGTCACAGAGAACGCCTTTCTAAGATTCTGGCTCCAAAAAATACGATTTTGGTATGCATCAGAAGGCCGTTTTTCCAGAATATAATGGTTTATATTTGCCTTGTGTCCCACTCAGGTTTTTATTGGAGAAAAGGTACGAGCACATGTGAGAAAGGTGCTTTGGTTTGTCTAAGCCTTCGGGAGTAAAACGCCATGGACGGAAAGAGATCCCTTGTCGCGAATCAAAAGTCATTACGTCCCTATATGTAACGTGGCCCAGACTACACAGTTTAGACCTAGAAATACTGAGAGCAAAATAACACATTGGCGATCCCAAAACAAGAGGCCATGTATACCCTACCTGGTGGCACGGCAGCCCATCCATATGCGTATGCATTCTTCCCTTTTACCTCCAGCAGGCTGCGGTGGCGTTTGCTAGGAATCTTGTGGGCAGGGTCTATTGAACTTTCATTCACCGCGGTAGTTAGCAGGGATAATTTCCGTCATGTGTGACAGTGTCTCGAAGCAAGATTGTGACTTAGGGTTGTATTGTAGCCAATAGTGATTATATGCCAACGTATCTACTAAATTGGTAATGTTATCAACCCCTGCATATTTATCCCTTTTGTGTGTTCTTGTGACGGTATTGAGACGTTACAAGTCGAGAGATGCACGCTGACTTCATGAAGAAGGATATGCTGGTTTGTAGCCGTAGCACAGCATATGCACAATCCCTATTGGTCTGTTGCAGTTGTCAGATATGGAATAAGGGGGAGTCTAAGCAATGCTTCTCAACACCCCCTCCATGAATATGCCGATCTGAAACAGGTCAGTCAGTTGTACTTGAACAACAAAATTTTGTGTTACCCAGGGTGTTGCAGTGTGGCACATTAAACTTTGCCTTTAAAAAAACCCCAGCCAGCCACGTAGACCTCCTGTCCGGAAATCTCTACACCCCCCTGATAATTCCAAAGGCGCAATAGTTGGTTTCTAACTGCCTGGGACCTGTTGCTAAGTACCAGCATCCAGTGCACACAGAGCATGTACCCCATTTCCTCCACTGGTTCGCCAAACTCCAAGGGTTACTAGATTTGCTTTCTGCCCAATACAAAATCGGCCAACAACTAGACCCTCAATATGGAAAGACCAATCGAATGGTTTCGCGACCAAGTCATTTTCCTGACTGGAGGTACAGGAAATCTAGGCGTATGTCTTCTCCACAAACTCGCTCTGCAGTTACCCACCAAAAAGATCTTCGTGCTTTGTCGTGGCTCCGTGCAACGTGCACTCGACAAGCTGGAGGCAGCATTGGCAGAGCAATTGGACGATGTTCTAGATACTCATCGTGTCCAATTTATGGTGGGAGACACCTCCAAACCTAGCCTTGGTTTAAGGCCTTCCGACCTACGAGAACTACAAGAGGAGGTGACCGTGGTAATCAATGCAGCGGCAGACATTTCGCTACAACAGCCGCTCCATCTCAGTATCCATCCAAACTGCATAGCTCATCTGCAGTTACTCAGCTTACTTCGAGAATTCAGTCATCTCAAGACGTTCCTCCACGTATCAACCACATCAGTAAACAGCTTTCTCCCTGATGGCATCATTGAGGAACGGTTATATCCACTTTCTGACGAGGATCCAGACCCAGAGAAAGTTTTGTCACAGATTCTCAGTACAGGACAATCAGCCTACACGGATAATTTTATCGCGCCTTATGCATTTTGCAAGCACCTGGCGGAGCGGCTGATTCTGAAGCAAGCCGATCTGCCTTTTAACAGACTCATTGTGCGACCGTCCCTTATCGGGCCCGCTATTCGCGACCCGTATCCATTTTATGGGAATGATGAAGGCATGCCCTTACAATCTGCAATCTACAACCTGGCAACGGACCCAGACTATGGGTTAGATGAGCTTGGAAAGGGAATCAACCTGGACGCCATCTTCGACGAGATTCCTGTCGATCTGGTTGCAAATACTTGTCTTGCTCATCTGGCTGCTGGTTCGGTAGGAATTGTTCAAGCTGCGGGTAGTCTCTATGTGGCAGCGACTACTGGTGAAATTACTGCCACCATGATCCAGGGCGCAGCACCGACAGGAATCGAGAAGGTCCGTCGCGGAGAGATTCGCCAGAGTCAAAATTTGGCACCAATGTTTTTTCAAGTGGCGCGGAAATATATGCGCAACTGGGATATTCGGTGTGATCGATCGGAGCATTTGAAGGAGGAGGCTGGTGTCTTGGGGCTTAGCCTTGATGGCCATGACCCGAAGGCGTTCATGAAGCATCGCTGGCAGAATGTGTCCAACTTGCTTTTCGGCCTTTCTGGAATTTAATCATCGGGAAGATAGAAGGATCCCTTCAGGAATAAGTACTAGTTGATAAATAGCAGGGTTCTGTCTGAAAGCTCTGCCATGTTGACAGTCAATTCATATGTTGCTGCCATAAAATCTTTCGCTCGCTGGGGGCTGCTAGTGGCGTGCGAAACAGATATACTTGCCTTGGCTGGTCTCTAAGTAGTAATGCAACGAGCGGACGAAGATTATCGATCTCGGCGCATCAAGCCATCTCCGCTGGAAGCATACAAGGCATAGGAATAATCGCGCCCATATGATCGACGTAACATCAGGCATGTCGAACAATTGACTTGCTTGTCGAGACCAGCCAACAGTCGCGGGCGGCCCCCGCTTGTAGATGTCTGACGGCTCTCAAACATACTTAAGTATTGGGTTTGATTCGGAGGGCGCAACGACGCTTGCTATCATTGGACCCAATCCCATACTAGTATTCACATTCTCTTTCACGGCTGAAAGTCTAATACAGGGGGGAGGTGGGAGTTGAGTCTGGCGCTCTCCAACGTCCTTGCCTACGATTTGGATCTGGTCTTGGGAGAGATTGTCATCGCTACCGCTGCCTCGCATCCTGTCTCTCGCGGGCCTTGAAAGTCTATGCGTACAACTTCAGAGCTTTACCGCGCGCTGCTTGAATACACATAAAAAGGGGGGCTTGTACGGTTTCTATACGTCCGGGACTCGGAGATTACTAAGTCGCCGACCACGCTCCGAGACAGTATTTCGCATGTCGAGCTATACAACAACTCGGAAGATAGAGTCAATATTCTTCGCGGGTAGTTCCTATAGCCTGCTACACGTACAGGCAAAGCGCATGATGACTTTGCAGCTGACTCACACCAAACCGACCGAGCATCCAAAGACGCGGTCCCGGCTCTGACAGCAGTCCTTAAACTATACAGTCTCAATTTTGGGGTGCCCCAATAGCTGTTGCCTTCCCTACTCCGTGTATATTTCTACATAACATTATATGAGGCTTCAATCTGTATCTACTGCTACATACGACAACTTACACTGGATGCACCCAGGTTTTGCACAGGAACGATTTGTCTTTCCATCTACATTATATATACCGTCAACACTCCAAAGGGTACCATTCAGCTTGTATGATATGTTAATATTCTCCACGCCTTGAAGATGCCATCTATCCTATAGGAAGAAGGTTGTAGGAAAATCGGCGTTCCAAGGCAGGGGCGGTGGCAGACGTTCTGCTAAGATGTCTGGCTGCGGTGGACGTCACAATATATGTTAATTTAATATGGACCCAATGCGGACAACCAAAAAACTCAACTACGTCCTGACGTTCTCCTTGGATACCTATAGCTGAATCAGGTACCCACAGCAGACTCACTCCCATATTAACTGAGGTCACCCACCTTCTTATCCAAACAGGGCCTTTCTTGTGACACTATACAGCGACACTATTGCATATAACATGGGCCTGGGTATGTCGAGTCGAAAGGCTTGCTCAGCGCAAGCCTGCGTTTATCGTGAGAGTGACTTCAATCTTCCACACATAAGCACCGGTGGGGTACAGTGTCCAAGGCGGGCCGTGACCCATACTAGACCGAGCCTTACCGAATACTCTTATACAGTTGATTGGATCAATTTATCCCTGCGCGCCCTGGGTAGGAGGTACAGGAACAAAATCAACAATAGCACAATCACTCAAGAACGAACTGTAGCCTGGATAGGAAACATAGTAGGAAATGAATGATTCTTGACAAGAAAGTCCGTGGCGAAAAGGCCGCGTGGGAAGCATGCTGCCGCGGGGCGTGCTCTCATACAGTATGCTCTTCACACAAGCCGGGCAGTTTGGGTACCGAGGTTCGTCGAGGTGTGTAGAATCGATCTATAGAGCAGTACTTAGTAGTCCATTGCCTATCTGGATTGCAATGTTGCGAAGCTCACCAATCTCGCTTTTGCTGTTCCTACTGTTCAATGCTCCCTCTCGCGACCTCTGATACTGTGTAGTAGGGTGGACCCATACATGTCGCGAAGCCCTACGATTCATTAGATATAGATGAGACAGACATAGGGGTTAATACGAATGTATTAAGTATATTTGATAAGACATATACTAATACGTAGTGTTGGATGCCGCCCATCCCCATCACCCCAAAAACATCCCATAGAAGACGACAAACCCCCGACAACAAACATCTTCCCCCTCACAATTGACGATCTTTCATTATTCGTAGTGGCCCACGATCTTAGTATTGATTTGATCAAAGCCTGGTAGGGCGGGTAGGGTCTCTAACACAGTTACATCTCCATCCCCGGCTCGTCACCTTCATGTGGAGCTTTGGGGGCAGGACGTTTTATGTAGAGGCAGTGGTGACTATTATCCTGATAGCTCCGGTTAGCTTCAATTTAGTGGCGTGTAACTGACTTCAAGTGAATTGGAGGGGGTGTATACTATAAGCGCCATCTCAAATAGAGAATATAAACACCGACGCTACCGATGGCTAATACCGCCACTCCGAGGGATGAAAGTCCTATGATTGTCTGTATTCCTTTCACTCCTTGAGCGAACGACATATTTGTGTGTGTGTGTGTGTGTGTGTGTGTGTGTGTGTGTGTGTGTGTGTGTGTGTGTGTTTGTGTGTGTGTTTGTGTGTGTGTTTGTGTGTTGGTTATGATTAACTATTCTATGATCGGCACTACTAACATCTTCCACCAAGTAAAGGTTGCTATTTATCCATGGAAGGAAGGTACCGCCAAGTATGGCATGGAAGGTGCGTTGTTGATCTACGCTGTGACAGTGTGTCCTTGTATGTTGGGGAAGTGAAAGAGGGCAGCAGTGTCCTGGCTGTTATAAGTTATTCAAAGTAAAATTAAACAGACCAAAGGCAAGAAGAAAGGGCGGACGACGAGAGAGTAAAATATACAAACGGAAAAGGGACTTCGTTTTGTCTTTGTGGGACTCAGAGGCTAGTCACTACTGGAGGGAGATTGCATTTCGTTTCGCCTCGATCGAACGTCCAAGTCGAGCGCGCGGCGAAAGAACAGCATATATTGCTTATTCCACCTCCCTTACAAATAATATTTCGTATGGCATGGAACTTTTTACCAAATTCAATGTAATCGAGATACACTAGTTGACTGTCAAAGATGGAATTGGGCTGGTGCAAATGCGAAGTATCCTTTCACTGTGATGAGCAAGTCCAAGGCAGTGTAAATGCTTGGAAACGTGGTGGCAGCCTGTCACGCTACTCGTCTTGTTCTGACTGAGTATTGCTCAAGACATCTAGCTGGTGTACGAACTAGATATCTGAGGGCCAAGGAAGATCGTAGCGAACTACGCTTTTGCACGACAGACATCAGTGCCGCTTTCAGTTGGATATTTTTCGACGGGGACACGGGATGTAGCCGGGAAACAGTTCCACTCACGACTGAGAATGTTCAAGGCCCGCTACCAGCTGGAACAAGCCCTCGCAGAGGTTGGTTTCCTTCGCATCATTCTGGTGGGAAGCAATTGGCCTCTTCTCCCCAAATATCACGGCGTAGATGGAGGTACTGCATCGGATACGTGGGTGACAGTATGACTCGTAGGAATAAAGACAGGCGGTCGACTTTCGGAGCCACCTCCGTCTGCAGTCGCCGTATCGTAGCGTACAATCTGCAAATTGATGAGAATTTGAAGGGCTATTCCCGCGGCGCAAGATGATTAAGACACGGATGGAGTAAAATCGGTTAAGATGAATCGATATGACTGGATATACGAATTGGCTTGAAGCAAAACATATTGCAGATAACGGAAATTGTGCATCATCTGGAGGAGTATCTTGCCCGCGTGCTGGTTGAACGTGGGGGTGACTTCCTCCTTTAGTTTCCACCACGCGCCAGGGTTGAGATGATAGGAAAGCTGAGCACTCTTACAACCAACTAGTCAAATAATTGTTTATCAACTCAACTCTCCATATATCTCCGTCATGTATCTAGTTAGCAGCCGTTTCGTGGATAAAACAATAGTTTTCTCCCAATTCCTTCGTCTTTCTCTAGCCATCGTCAATCCTTGTCCCATTTGAGGCGAGACCCCCATTAAAAGATAATCACAACAGATACTTTCATCACTATCTGACATGATAAAGCTAGATTACTGTCCTGTACCATCCTCGTCATAAACTGGACTTCAGCCTTGAGAAGGCTTCATCATCATCATGGGTGAGAACAAGAAGGAACCTTCGCTCATGGTTGATTCTTCACCATCTACTTTTGAAAAGACCAATCATATATTCATCTCATGAACAACTGTCCCCGCCGATGACTTCCTCGAGAGGATGTGCCTAACCTGCTACGACGGGAACATAAGTATGTAGACGTACAGTCTCTCGGTTTGCAACTCCGAGATTTATTAAAATTCATTATACTAAATATACTGTCAACCCATTTATTCTCTGTTCTACAACATTAGTTGGAGAACTTCTCGGGGACTTTCTTTCTATATTATCGCATATTAGCTTACAACCATCGCAAACTATACAATAGTCATGAGTATTCGAACTTACCCGGTAGCACTCTCGAACTGATTCCTCGCCGTATCGGTAATCTTCTCATTCGTGGAGCGCATCTTCTGAGGATCGATCTTGCCACCACCGAACTTCTGTTCGACCGAGTCGAGGCCTAACGAGGACGATATCAGCATTGCATTCCACCCGCGATAGCACAAACCAAAATATCATGCAGACGCGGATAAAAACTCACCCTTATCAAGGTAATCTTCCTGGCCCTGGTTTCCGCTTGAGCCCGAGGCCTGCGCGTCACCGCCAGACTTGTTGCCACCGCTGAGCTTCGAGGCCAGACCGGAGAGTTTGTCCATGATTATTGGGGTTATCGGTGTTCAATTGTTGCGAGTTTGAACTGTGGGAAATGCGTTGAATGTCTGTTTGTAAGGAACAGGAATGTTACTGCAAGGGATGGATGTTACATTTGTTTTATATTTTGGGGAGAGTGCTTAGTTATCGACTCTTTGGGAGCGGGGGGACAGTTGGTGATGTCATGGACGGGAGGTTTGTCTTTATTTACATCATATACGACCCCAATCCACCCTTTCCAACCCCTACGGACTAGCGCCTGGCGCTAGTCCCATAGTGGATTGTGGTTAACCCCCATCGGGTAAGACACTGGCACGTGACTGTTGAGCGAGGAACTTTCTCGTCACACGGTCGTATTGCTGGACCCTGACCTCTGACCTCCAATCCCTACCTACCTCTCTACTAGCATTCGCGGCAACATCAGTCAGAATCACCATAATTCAACACTGAATCGGGAGCCCTTGTTGTTCCAGATATAGAAGGCAGTAGGAACTATGAAGGCCTGAGGCCTGCATATTCTACTCCTCCGCCTGCCCGGTATGGGACCCCTGGAGTAGAATAGCAAGCTCTGATTGGTCAATAAATATACATATATATATAATATATTGAAGCCGTACGTCTACTGGTATGTAGGATCCTGCTAGGCAGGGTCAGCAGTTAGGGGTCGCTGGCGAGCGAGCGAGCGAGTGAGCAAGCAGGCGCTCAAATCGCTGAAGAACGACAAGAAACTAAAACAGGTGGTTTACCTATTCAGGTCAAGCGGTAACAGTGGTATACTTTAATGACAAGATGCGCATGTGCAGATCTTGTGAAGTGGTTAATCATTAGGCATGTTATGGATGTGCATAACTCTGCAGGATGGGGTTAGATGAATGACTCTCACGTGAATGACATCTTGGTGATGCCAGCAATCCCCTGCTTATGTCATCCAGGTCTGATGTCAGATCACGTGCTCACACCCTCAGCCCCATCTCGTATTCGTATCCCCTGCATTTGCCCTTTTTTGTGCTGCTTGTTTGCTTTTCTTTCTCTTTTTCTTTTTTGTCTGGCAGCTTGGTTCCCTGTCGTATGGTCTGTCACGTCGCACACCGGGACAACACGAGGAAAATTTCCTCGGAAATTGTGGCGGCACACAAACCATGCGGGTTTGTATCACCCAGCTTGCCACCTGCAGATAAACAGTAGTCCGATGTCATATCACCCCATTTCTGGGAGAAATTCTCATACCCCTGCGATCAAAGCAAACCAAGATTTCACTGCCCAACAATTCGATTCAGCCTGGTCGGCCCCCACGGATCCCGATTCCTCTGGCAGGATCAGTGGCGCAGGGGCAATCTTGCTGCCTAGGATGAAGTGGTTCCAGGGACAGCAAACCTCCTGGATGGGGCTGCTCCCTCTCCCTCGGGCCTATCAAGGGTTCCCCAGACCGAGGGATTGGCCCTAACATTCCTGCCGAACTCCGCGTTAGAGCCGCTGACTGTACAGAGTTCGCTGAGTTCGCAGAAACTCTGGTTCACATGGTGGATTCGCCAAGGCTGCCCAAAGCCTTCCGGACGATCCGCAAGATGTGGCTGTTCACTCAGGATCATATTATTATAAGGCATTCTGTGCGCTGAATCTCTTCGCAACTTTTTTTCCCTTCTCGTGCCGTCCATCCTCCACTCTCCCCCCAGTCCTTCCCTCCGAGATCGTCGTCCCTGTCGATCATGAAGCTGCCTCTCTTTGCTGCAGCCGCCGCTGGCCTCGCCAATGCTGCTTCCGTGCCTGTCGAAAGGGCCGAGGCTGAGGTTGCTTCCGTCGCCGCCGATTTAATTGTCCGCGCCCTCCCCAATGCCCCCGACGGATATACTCCCTCCAATGTCACCTGTCCCTCGACTCGGCCTAGCATTCGCGATGCCTCCGGCATTTCCACCAACGAGACCGAGTGGCTCAAGGTCCGTCGCAATGCAACTCTCACCCCGATGAAGGACCTCCTGAGCCGTCTGAACCTCACCGGCTTCGACACCACCTCCTACATCAACCAGCACTCCAGCAACATCTCCAACATCCCCAACATTGCAATTGCGGCCTCGGGTGGTGGATACCGTGCTCTCACCAACGGTGCCGGTGCGCTCAAGGCATTCGACAGCCGCTCCGACAATGCCACCAACTCCGGTCAGCTGGGTGGTCTGCTGCAGGCGGCAACTTATGTCTCTGGCCTGAGTGGAGGTAGCTGGCTGGTCGGATCCATGTTTGTCAACAACTTCTCCTCCATCGGTGAACTGCAGGCCAGCGAAAAGGTCTGGCGATTCGACAAGTCCCTGCTCGAGGGACCCAACTTCGACCACATTCAGATCGTCAGCACGGTGGAATACTGGAAGGACATCACCGAGGAAGTCGACGGAAAGGCCGACGCCGGTTTCAACACCTCCTTCACTGACTACTGGGGCCGTGCGCTGTCCTACCAGCTGGTGAACGCCTCCGACGACAAGGGCGGTCCCGACTACACCTGGTCCTCCATTGCCCTCATGGACGACTTCAAGAACGGCCAGTACCCCATGCCCATTGTCGTCGCCGATGGCCGCAACCCCGGCGAAGTCATCGTCGAGACCAATGCCACCGTCTACGAAGTGAACCCCTGGGAATTCGGCTCCTTCGACCCTAGCGTCTACGCCTTCGCCCCTCTGCAGTACCTGGGCTCTCGCTTCGAGAACGGCGCTATCCCCGACAACAGCACCTGCGTGCGCGGCTTCGACAACGCCGGGTTCATCATGGGCTCGTCTTCCACCCTGTTCAACCAATTCCTCCTCCAGATCAACAGCACCAGCATCCCAACCATCCTAAAGGACGCCTTCACCGACATCCTCGAAGACCTCGGTGAGCGCAACGACGACATCGCCGTATACTCCCCGAACCCCTTCTCCGGCTACCGCGACAGCAGCGAAGACTACGCCACAGCCAAGGACCTCGACGTGGTCGACGGCGGTGAAGACGGCGAGAACATCCCTCTGCACCCGCTGATCCAGCCGGAGCGTGCCGTGGACGTCATCTTCGCCATCGACTCCTCCGCCGACACAGACTACTACTGGCCCAACGGTACCTCCCTGGTGGCCACCTACGAGCGCAGTCTCGAACCCACCATCGCCAACGGCACCTCCTTCCCCGCCGTCCCGGACCAGAACACCTTCGTCAACTTGGGTCTGAACTCCCGCCCGACCTTCTTCGGCTGCGACCCCAAGAACATCTCCGGCACTGCTCCCTTGGTCATCTACCTGCCCAACAGCCCCTACACGTACGACTCCAACTTCTCCACCTTCAAGCTCACCTACAGCGACGAGGAACGTGACTCCGTCATCACCAACGGCTGGAACGTGGTCACCCGCGGTAACGGTACCGTCGACGACAACTTCTCGTCTTGCGTGGCGTGCGCTATCTTGCAGAGGTCCACCTACCGGACGAACACTTCCCTCCCGAATATCTGTACCACGTGCTTCAACGATTACTGCTGGAACGGAACCACGAATAGCACTACCCCGGGTGCTTATGAGCCTAGTGTGTTGATTGCTACCAGCGGCGCGATGAAGAGCGTGTTGGATTACTCGGTGCTTGCTGCGGCAGTGGGTGTGGCTGCGTTTATGCTGTAGATATGATATGATGTCTGCATAGGTGTTTGTACATGTTTGTTCTATCATTAGATGCACATAGTCATGTTTGCATTGATTGCATTTTTGGGTTAGATTGATGATGAAGATGCCGGATTAGATTGTGTTCATTAGCAATGATAAGACATTATCCTATTGCATGAATCAGTAGTACCGAGGCAGTAAGGTGTATGGCCTTGTTCTTCAGAGGTTCGCCGTGAAGAGCAGCGCCGACATGCAGATTCTTGTTTGGAATTGACCGGGCGGACTTGTGTGGCTGCTTCCATGTGATCTCACCTAAGCAAGTATCTGCAGCCAGGTATGATCCACGCCTGTTGTACCATTTTGCGTCGAACCCTTACCTCTGCCTGTTAAGGCTTATATTTCTTCCCTGCTCATTCTCACTTACCTCTCTCTTCACCCACTCCATCAATAGAAGATATGGTACCCCCTTATCGCAAGCAGCGGCGATGAAATACCATTAGATATTCCATTCTACCATAAAACTATGCACCATATTATGTCCTCATGTTATGCGAGGGCCTCCCAAATCCGTACACGTCTGTAATCATGTAGATGCGCGCACGCAGAGGGTCAGCCTGGCCCATTTCTGCAAGATTCAGGTGCAAGACCAGACCCTGAAGTATATTTTACTAGCATGCTCTCGCTTTATAAACCTACTATAAGATTAGTATATATTTGATAAAATCATTCACTATATGTATAAATCTGCGATCTGTACCTACGGATAGTATTACTAGTTATAACTTACTTATATCAGACCCGCAGGCAAATAATTGCGATATCACTGAATTCATACTGTAAATAGACTTGCTCTTCAAAACGGTGAAGCACCTGCATAGTTAGCATCTAACCAAGCCGGCTGGATCGAGTAAAAGGATATGAATTGAGGTGAAAAAAGTATGTTCTCGTGTTATGGGTTTCACTCTTTCCGTAGTCAACTATCCACAGAACATTCTTTCATGGGTAATAAAACAAATTCATTATCATACTGGAGCTAAAAAATACAAGAATCCCAAAACAAAAACGCGAACTAAGCCCTGTGGGCATCTCCTAGAAGAAGAGTTTTTTCAAGAGAGAAAAAAAAAAAAAAGAGAAGAAGTTTTGCCCTCTATGGGGACCCAGAAACAGTACCACCGGCACCACCACCACCACCGGCACCCGCACCCCCAGTCCCAGCACCAGCATCACCATCACCAGCACCACTACCATCACCACCATCACCACCCTCACCACCATCACCACCCTCACCACCACCACCACCAGCAGGCACCGGCTTAGGGCCCTAAACAAGCATCAGCCATAGTTCCTATGAGCATGAATTTAGTCATTACCCAGGGGAGGAACTTGGCATTGAACCACTCCTTGAAAGTTGCTGGGCGGGGCGGGGGGGGGGGCTGTCCGACGGCCTGGAATACCCCTATACTTAGTATATACTCATGACAAAAGCTGGTCTTGAGTATCATACCCCGCCGGACAAGCTCTAGAGCTTGCTCGAATTCATCAATATTTTGGGGCACATAGGCCCCGACACAGGACGTAGAAGCTCTATGAATTAGAGTAAACGGTGTCAGTCTCATTCTCATAATGATAATGTAGCAGAATGAGAAGCCTGATAGATACCTTTTCTGTACACAGAGTATAATGCAATATAAGATTGCAGCTAAAATGAAGAGGCCCCCAGTACAGCCAAAACCGGCACCCATGACCAGAAGTTGGCCATTTGTGGTATTTTGGGCGGGGATGGCGCCGGACGAAGGGAGGGTAAAATCGGGGGATCGAGGCAGGGGGGGCGACATTTTCTTGACGTATTATTGAGTATAAAAAGCTCTTAAAACGAAGTAAAAAAGCCCTTAAAAACGAAGTAAAATTCACTAAGTCTTGCTCTATGTACAGGAGTAAGTGTCGCGGCCAGTTTTCCTTCGACAAGTACACCAAAATTCAGTATATGGAAGGAAAGAACAGTGCTGGTTGTGACTCAGTTTATGCCTTCCACTGTAGCTAACAGTAGCCTCGTTACTACCTCGTTTACTAGTTTGATGAGTATAGTTTGCGGTGTAGGGCTAAGCGAGTCTGGGTCCCGATAGCGCGCCTGTTTTCTGACTGGCAACTTCCTCTTAAGTGCAACAAGAGAGTCGGGGCGCGCCAAACTTTCACTCGGAACAATTGATTTGCCCGACGCTAGGGACTATCGACGACACGTTGACGTTTTGCCATGTCAATCAGCGACCCAAGAGCTGCTTATGACGGTCATTTAATGCTGACGTCTTGAAGCAGTGGAAAGGGGATCCAAAACTTGATGCAACTGTCGACAGCATGAGCGAGTTGGGAAAACTATTGGTATCGATATCAAGGTGCATCTGATATCAGTGATGGACGTGTAAAAGCCGCGACTCGGGTGTGGAGAATAAGGTTTCGCTTAAGCGGGCCGCCTTTTTGTTCGCATTATAATCATTTTTGCAGTGACAACTGTCCCGATTTGGCTGGCCAGGAGCACGGGTCATGTTCTCGGAACATCGAAGTACAAGGTTGAACAACTCTCGCCTGTATGCTGTGGACAGAGACTCATAGACGATCAGTAGATGTAGTATGCAGATAAAGTAATGGGATCAGATACCAAGGGTGCATGGATTGCCTACCTGCGGCTAGTATTTTGTTGACGTCTGTACCGGTACTAGTAGTATATATAAAGTGGTGAGATACTGAGGGGGCAGTGGGTGCCAGGAAGCTTTTCGCTCCAGAAGACGAACGCAGGGAGTCCATTGAAGTCTGATCGTCATAGCAAGTCGAGATCGATGTGGGATGTAAAATCGTACACCACTATGTAAAAAAAGATTTTTACGGCCCGATAACAAAGGGTTCAACCAGCGGTGGAAGGCAACAGGAGGTAGGCACCTTCCACAAAATCCATGTCAGGCCTACCGTTCAAAGACCAAGACTCTCAGTTCAGCAGTATCAATTCAATTCAGTTCAACTCATTCAATTCAATTCATATTCTTATACCCGATCGAGCCGGCATAGTTAGATGCTAGCTATGCAGGTGCTTCACCGTTTGAAGCAAAGAATATGGCCCCGAACACCTTCAATGCCCTCAAACTCGCAATAAACACATAAACCAATGTAAACAACGCTTGCCACGACGTAGGAAGGTCGTTGCCGTAGCTAAACACAACTAAACAACAAAAGCAGATGTAGATGTAGATATAAATGAGTGTTGCAGCCGTAGCTGCCTGTGAGCCACCATCCTTCTCATTCTTTGTCCATTATCTTACTTCCAACATACCTGTTCCTTCTGCTTGTAACGTAACTCCCGGCCGCACCGGCCACCCACCCGCGCCGGCCACCCCTACCACACCGCCCTAGAATCATTGTACTACTCATTGCTAATTCACTGCCTTTGATAGAAAGAGTGGTTGCATGTAGGAACGTGTTGGGCGGTGTACTGGGTGGCCGGCGCGGGTGGGTGGCCGATGCGGCCGGGAGTTACGTTATAACCTTCCCTGCTGACTCAAACAGGACGTATATTGTTCCTTCTACCCAGCATCCTTAATGCCTATTCTTGAGACATTCACTGCAGCCAGGCAGCTGTCAGCTGATCCTTCGCCTCTTCTTCCTGCGTGGCCTCTGACTACCACCTCTTCTAAGAACCCAACCACCAACCATCTTCTTGAGATCTAGATAGATCAAAACCATATCTTTGGCCCTTCGTCTTGACACCTATTCCTATGGCCCTGAGGCCTACGTGTTCCTGGCTCAGATCAGACATTACCTGTTTAGGGTCAGGATCGAGTTTGACCTGGCTGAACTGCCCGAGCAAGCCTGTTTACAACATAAATTCGGCGACGTAGCGGATCGCCTGCGGGTCTGATATAAGTAAATTATAGTTACGTAGCCGTAGCCCCCAGATCCGTGCGTGCAGTAATCTTATTATATATCTGATTGCGCAGCCTTACAAAGCAGGAGCATGCTAGTAAAATATACTTCGGGGTCTAGGACCCCCCTGCCCGCAGCTGCAACAGTTACTCTCCTGTACCTTTATTTTGTAGAGAGAATGGGCTAGGCTGATTCTTTATATACATATCTGCATGACTACAGACATGTACGCCTTTGGCAGACCCTCATAAAGCACGAGGATCTTCTTCAAGGGGGCCTTTACCAGGCGTCTTATGGGCGCTGCCATAGCTCAAGCTCCTCAGAAACAGGTCGGTACTCGTCAAGCAAGCGACTTCCTCCTCGCCCGTTCTGATCTTCTCCGCTTCTTATTTCGACTTCCCCCGCTTGAAGCACTCTCGCCTCCATTCTAATTACCCCCTTCAATTATGCTGCTGTAGGTCAGATACCCAGCATAGGATGGCGGTGAAGACTCTCTCTTTGCCCTTATTGGTGCTGCTATTCTCGTCGGTGTGTCGAGGTTCAAGGAAGACACCACCTTCAACGGACAAATGGTCATCGTCATCCTCATCGTCACTGTAACCAGATCCCTCATGAGCATCGCCCAGTCGGAGGCGCTTGAACGAGACAGTCATAGAGCTACTGCCTGCCTGACTCTTCGAGCTTGGCGACAAACATAGGCATCTGAGAGTATCATATGCGGAAGAATAGCCACGCTATTCAGTCGCCGACTCCACGAGTCGGTAAGTATCCCGAACCGTTATACAGACAAACGCAATCTCAAGCCCAGCTATGGGATTGCATAGTGGCATCTTCCCAATTGAGTCGGTGCCTAGTAAGAATCAGTAGATCCGCGAACAACACCAGTTTAACCCACAGGCAGCCCAGGAGTTGAAACAGGTGAAGGGCATAGTCTGCTACCCTCGAATTTTCAGGAGGATGGGAAGAGAAAGGAAGACAAGGGGCGTCCACAATTAAAGATCCAGGGCGGGGTGTAAATAGATTGAATCAAATTGGAAGAAACATTTTCCATAACGCTTTTGTGCGAATGGAGGTACTGCTGAACTTCCCTGCTCATGTAGGGGTCGAAGGGAACGAGGTTACAGACTCTGAGGCGAAACGGGCGGCGGAATGCGGGACCAGGCCGGGACAACAGATAATCCGGCTTGCTTCCGCTGCCAAGAGGACTGTTCGCCGCAAGTTCCAGGATTGGTGGGCTAAACAGTGGAAGGTAGAATGTTCTTCGTAAAGCGATAGTGCTTCTCTTTACTTACAGGTGTTGAACCACGTCGTTGCTGCAACGAATAAGTTACTAAATCCATGATACCAAGATTGAATAAAGCAAGTTTTTGATTTGGTTTTAATAATGAACAAAGGTTTAGCAGTAGCGAAGTAGTCAGGCAGCTCGTTAGGTCGACTGAAGCTGCGAGCTAATGCGCCTGGGATTCCTCAATTCCTGAACCCGAAGAGAACCCGAAGACATAGGCATTTACCCAATGCTCCAAATAGTCCCTGGAGAAGTTGCGGTAGCCGCATAGAAAGACATCCACGATCATCGGGTCATTCTCATATCTCTCAACTTCCACAGGATACCCCCTTGCGTCTTCGCAGCATAAGCACATTGAAGTGCAATGGCTCTTATGGAGCGGATGCTTATCAGTTCTCGGCTTCTTGCAGCATCCGCATTTCCGTCCACAGCACCCCCCGGAGCGTGCGCATTCCTGGCGCAGAAAGTTGGAGAGATACCAATCCTTCTGTTGTTCATGTGCGTACAACATCCGCCCCAGAGGCCCGTCGGGAAGCGTATTTATATAGCGATAGGTCTCTCGTTCCAGGTTGCAGTTTGTTTCTCTGAGAGAGTGGAGTTCCTTTTTGTAGGTTTGCATCTCATCTACAGAAGTAGACGGGACTTTCGTTGATGGGTTCGCGTTGATTCCCTCGTACAACAGGTCATGCTTGGCTCGCAGGTAGACTTCGCGCTGTATTGAGAAGCGTAGCTCGAAGTACATTTGGATATATCTTTCAACGGGCTGCCAGAGATCCCTATATGAGAGAAGAGAAATTCCACATCTTGGAAGCTGTAGTAGACGGAATAACTGAGCTGTATCATGGTCACCTTCCTGCTGGTACTTACGTTCCGCAAGTCGGCTGTATGGCCTAAAAAAGTATCTGACCACCCTTGAAAGTGACATATTGGCTCGTTTGGGAGTGAAACTTGAAAGAATAAAGGTGAGAAGTGTAGGCAGGCTTTTATAAGGTCACACGATGACATATATTCTCATCATGACATGAAGATTGCGCGAGAAATGGAACATAATGAGGTATTGATGAGTCAAACAGAAGGGAGTTATTTCCTACGCTGAAAATAGAGAGCCAAACATACCCTCTCCTCTTTGCGTCCCATACCTGCTTGAAATGATCAAGTTTTAGAGTTAGTGCTTGAGAATCTGGACTTCAAGCTTCGTAACCTAGAACTATCTTCTCCATGCTGCCTAAGAATCCACTTAATCTGCCTCCTACCTCTTGAAAGAACCCTGCCCATACTACCACCGATCAAGAAACGATCATGAGGGATAGTGCTGTTGGGCTATGCCTTTGTAACGTACTGTAATTGCCAGAAGAGGATATTTGAGACAATCTGTTGCCCCTTAGAATGGCCGACTCATCTTTATATAGCAATACGTGGTATGCGTGGTATGCACGAGCAGCGAATAACAGATATTTTAACGGGTAGTAATTATGAAAAGACCACTAGCAAGACATAGGACCTAGAGAGGCAAAGCTGCGTAGGGGCGAGTAGGTTCAATACTTACATATGCCCATTAGTCCCATACTAAGTAATAGCTTGGAATTTCGACGAGCTAACCGCTAGGCTAGAGTACAAAAGCTATACTGTCGCGTCTATTCG